CTTCTAAGTGCCTCGCTCTTAGTTTTCTCTCACTCGAAAATTGTTTACTTGGTTGTTTATATATCATATAAATCCCATGTGGAAATGACATTTGTTAACTAAAAGCTAATTGTTTAAACAAGTCGAAATCGTTGGACAGCTCTATGGGAAACAAATGCAAAAGCATTTTACATGAATACTCTAAACAAAAACCAAGTGAAAATTGTAAATAATTATGCCTGTGTTTTTGTTGGCCAAATATACCCTGTAAACATGACAAATGGGCTTGTATGAGTGTATGTAATGGGATATGTATATAAGACAACATACTAAACCCTTTCCCAATCTTATGATTCGCTTAATTCCCTTCATGATTTTTTCATTCCCCTCAAATTTAACCATTTTAAGAGGTATAAGCATGATTTTTGGTACATGTACATATTGGCAACTCATCTTGATGAACTGAAAACTTCATAAAGATCGGACAATAAACAGAAAAGTTTTTTGGGATTCAATTTTTGTAGTGACTGAATTACAGGGTATCTTGCTATGAGGCACTCTCGACAGCTTGTGGCTTTTCAGTAGGCTAAAAAATGCATAAATGTGCGATTGTTTTTGACTTTTGTGGAGCAAATAGCTCGCGGCACCACACAAACAGCTGTGCTTTATATATATATCTATATATATATATAAAAATATATATACTGTATTTATATGAAGTTGGGAACTGCAATCGCAGACGTCGGCCCACGCCTTGTGACGACCAAATCGGGTGGCTTGCGACATGGAGGAAGACAGACAAATAGATTTGTATTCACATATTTTACATTAAGACACACAAGGCGTGGGCAGTTTTCTCATTTGACGATGCATTAGTAGACCCGTTTTTTGCCCCACCTTCTCCCGGCTGTAAATAACAACATTTTTTTTTTGTGTTGTGTGTGCTCGGTATTTGCTCAAGTGCCATAAAAGCGATTACGAGGCGCGAGTGATAACAATCTGCAGCAGCCGATAAGAAACTTGGTCTACACTTCAACTCAAGCAAAAAGAAATTGCATAATTCAGTTGAGGCTACCTTTTAAATACATAAAGATATTGTGGGGCATGGCAAAACGCAGGGGGGGGGGGGGGGGCCTTTCGGCCACAAAAGAAGTCGCAGCACAAACCAATCAATGCGGGCTAAAAGAAGAAGCAGAAGCAGAGCAGAGACAAATAGAACGTTTCGCTCGGGAATAGGTAAAAAAGAAAAAGTTGCAGTCAGTACATTTGATTAGCAATACCTGCAGTTTGCTTGGCCCGTTTCTTTTGTATACCCTGTTCGCAGAGTGAAGTAGGGGTATATAGATACATAGAAGAAGATATAACTTATATAACATACAGAATAGCTAGAGGCTTTGAATTTGATATTATATTTGTTGCTTTTTTCACAATTTCGATAACTATCGGTTTAAATAGATAACTAATCGATAATTAACTCAAGCTCTATAGAGCGAAATTGTTATGTAGACTCTCGTTTAATATATACAGACTTCCGTTTTGCATACCTCCTCCTTTCAGTTTCACCATTTCGATAAATATCGATTTCGAGACTTGGTCCTTTAAAAATACCTCAAGAATTATAAGAAATTGACGAAGATTAAGTTGTTAACTAGGTCAAATAGAATAGTATAAACAGACTGAGAATATTTCATATGTAAGCCCGTTGTCATTTTCGATATTTGTTGTCCTTTTTTTACAATTTCGATTAATATCGATTTTGTGACATGGTTTTATAAACTCAAGAGCTATATACAGCAAATTTAGCATGTAGTCTTTCGTATTGTATATGCAGTCTGAGAATATTTTACTTTCTGGATAAATTCTATATTCTCATTTTCGATATTTGTTGACAGTTTCACAATTTCGATAATTATCGATTTTGAGACAAGGTCTTTTAAGCATACCTCAAGAATTATTGGAGCTGTATATAGCTAATTTCTTATCTAGGTCCTTGTATAGTATATACAGATTGAGATTATTATACTTTATGGATACCTCTTTCCCCCTTAAAACTAAAACAAAGTCAACTTTTAGAGGTAGAGCCTTGCGCTTTGGAATATACGTCTACTTGGTTGCCACATTTAAGCCCTAGAAATTGCAAAGGGATCAGTCTATATACACCAAAGTTCTTTGAGAATAGATGTGTGAACAAGGCAAGGGGAAGAATGTTCATGACACGTCAAAACAGGGTAGCTTGCAGTTGTTCTGGCTTCGCCCTCCTTTTGTGGCTTTTGCATATAAATACATAATGAGATTTAAAATGCGACTGTGACAGTTGACAAACAATAAGCACCAACAATATGCATATATATATATATAGCTGGCCATGTCAAGTGCATTTGCAGAGCCAATCAATACGTATTAAATACAAGGCTATAACTGTTGGCCAAATTGTGTCTTACAGATGCGAGCATTTAATTCAATTACCTGTCGAGCACAATTGGCAAAGGAAATGGATTTTCGCACATCGCACGATAAACCGGAAAAACCAATTTGTAAACATTAATTATAAACAAATAATTGTTGATATTGTTCCATAAGCTTTATGCATTGTTTATGGGGCAAACAATTTACGGTAGATAAATTAATTTCCCGCATGTTTGTGGAAAAACATCTGTGCAAATAACAAAGTAATTGCAATTTGCAATTAGCTAATGAAGTAAATGTTACACATAATCCAGATGTTAATGGGACTTCGACTTAGATAAGTTCATTTAAACGCAGTTTCTTTGAAATAGTTGGACTAGCAATGTTTTTTGTTATCGATAATAACACATTTTTCCGAAAATCGATAAATATCAATTAATGGCTCCAGTTTTCTTAGCACATCTCAACAATTATTTGAGCAAGAGACTAGGCCGGAAATTTTAGAAAATGTCGATAAATATCGATTAGTTATTTTTCTTCTTAGCACCTAGGGACGCTAGGACACAAATATTGATAAATATCGTTTCACATATCCTGTTTTGCGAAAATTCTTAGAGCTAGGCACGGTTGATCACAAATATCGATAAATATCGATCCACATATGCAGTTTCTTATAGAAATATATCGAAAATTCGTAAGAAACTGGATCTGTGAATCGATACTTATAGACTTATTGTTCTTAGCCGTAGCAACAAAACAATTTACAACCAAACCTTAGCTACATTTCCCTCTGCATTGGTTGCCTTAGCTACATCATACATTTTGCCTCCTCGCCGCGCCCAAGTGTCAACAATGTTGCGACTAATTGAAGTTGATATGAAATAGAATAAAATCATGATGAAGCTCTGACCGCAATAAAGTCTTCTGATCTAGTTCACAGATACAAACAAATGGGCGACAGAAACGGAAACAGAAAATACTTACTCGCTTTTGCAGCACTCCGGGGCTAAAATGGGAAATTGTGCATTTTGAAATCTGGCCAAGAGGCAAGTAGAAAATAACAAAAACAAAAACAAAAAGTAAAGAACATGCTCCACATACTTTCGTGTGACACGTTAAGGGTGTGGCAAGGGGAAGCCGGGCAGCCGGAGAACGTTAGTTCAGTTCAGTTCAGTTGTTGTGGAAAGCTAAATGAGGCGTGACATAGAAAATGAGGCGCAGGCCGCACTCTAAAGACACACACACTTGGTAATTGGGAGTGCACCCACAAAAACAACAACAACAACAACAATGGCAACAATAACAGTAAACAAACGCGAGAGCAGGCATTGTGCCCCAAAAACAAAGAGTCCGTGAACGGAGAAAACAAAGAGCGAATGTTTATGCGGTGAAAAATTGAAAAATCTCATGAAAAGCTTAAAAAGAAGATTGGCCAAAAAAACGAAATGCGAAGCCGCCAAAGCAAACGACGCGCTCGCTGGCCACACGGGCAGGCAGACAGAAAGAGCGAGGGAGAGAGGAAGTACAAAGCACAAGTACAAGTATGCACGACTAGGCATATACCCTCTAACCACGACACACTCGCTGGCCACACAGACAGAAAGACAGACAGAAAGAGATAGTGGCAGCAAGGGAGGGAGCGAGAGAGAGAGGAGCGAGGGAGAGGGAGAGAGAGGAAGCACACAGCAAGCGTGCCCGACTACGCATATACCCTCTACCCACTTTCCTTTCTCTCTCTCTGCTTTACCCAATCGAAAATTCATTCTTAAATAACTCGAGTATTAAATATCCGATTGTCATGATATTTTCAGGGTCTGAAGCTAACACTCGAATGCGCATATATACCAAAAATTCAGGTATTATCTCGAATTTGTCAAACATGCCTAACTGAGCGAAAGTATTCCTTAAGCAAAAATATGCCTGAGCTGTGTGTATTCCTCTCTCTCTCTCTCTCTCTCTCTCTCTCTATCTTATTTTTTATCCGTTACATACATTTGCACAACAGCAATATACCCCATTTTAATCAATATCAGTGTGTACAGGGTATAATCAAAAGTGGGGGAGACGAAGGGTCACACAATTAACCCTTTTTCAGGCGCGAGGGCAATTCAACAATTGCTTTGATGTCGCTTTTGTGTTGTGCCGCACTGTTGAGCTTGGGCGTAGGGTGTTGGGTTGTTCGTGTTCGCGTTGCTGTTGTTGTTGTTGTTCGTGTTGTTGTTGCTGTGCTCCATTCAACGTGGGCGAGGTGTCTGTTGCCCAGCTTCAATTGCAGCTGGCTTTAATTAGCTTATGGACAAAAACGCGATATGCAATGAAATTAATCGGTTATGCGGTAATCGCATTTATCCCCCCCCCCCCCTTCCCCTTTCACACAACCCCAACCCCCTTGCCAGGGGCACGCGTTAGGTACAGGCCGCGGTGCATGGTGAATGCCGAGAATCAATCATGTATAGCGAAGCGTACCCGATTCCATTACAGCCGGCTTAACGAGATTGCCAGCTAGTGAAGCGTTAAGCTCCCCTTTGCCCCTCACTATACACAGTAGCTATTTTTAAGCTGTTTCCAGGTCCGCCCCAAAAGATGATCTCGATCGAAACAAGAGCACTTCTCTGTTTGTTTTTGTTGTTGTTATTTTCCCATCAGAATAAACAGAATAAATACATTTTCTCACATGCAGTAAAGCCCCAAATCCGAACAAAATCAGGGCTTACAGCAGCTCTTCAGCGGCTGGCCACACTGACTCTTAAGCGGCTGGCCACACTGACCGATGCCGCTGCAGCACATGATACACATACACGTTCCACAGCAGTTGCCACAACGCTTTTGATCACTGCAAGTGGAGCGCGGTTTGCACCAGTTTCCGGGTCTGCAGCCCAAACGGTTACAGGAACTGCGTGAATACGTTCGATTACAGCAGCGCATCTTGAGGGCTGTCACAAGGATTAAATATCAGAAAATAATATGCTAATTTATAATTATTTTACGATAACTCACATTTGGGACTTTACTGTTTTGCGAAAATTGAATTTGACAGGCGGAGATTTTGAAAGATATTTCAAAAACTTACAGATGAAGTTGATGAAGCCGTAATGTGTTCTACATTTCGTTAAAATTGTATAGATAGGCTATAAAAATCTGCATTCAAACTAAATGTCAGTTATATAAAGTCAAAATGGCGGAAACTTTTCAAAAAAGCCAACTGCCCGTATTCCGATATGATAGCAATAATCGATAACACAATCGATTATACATACGCACATGTTAGACAGTTACAGACTCTGAGCCTGTTATATTTAACGACTGTTAAACGATGCGAACTAACTTATTTGTTACAATGTACAATCTGTTAAGATGCGCTGGCTTTAAATGTTCACAAACTATAGACGATAAATATTTATGTAGAACGTGCGATATAGATTAGCGCTAACAGCTATTTAGCTTTACGATCGTTTATAGTTTATTTCGTCACACATAATTCTGCGAATATGCAAATCATCCGATGACAATTTCGAGCTGAAAGTGAAATTTTCTATTATCAGTTACTCAGAACACACACACACACACGCGCACGCAAAGCTGAGAGAGAGCGAGAGAGGGAGGGAGAGAGGACCAGCGCTAGAACCAATGGGCCACTAATACAGACATCAAAACGATCTACTTAGGTGTGGGAATAACAAGCGTTCGGCTGTGCTCGGCTTGGCTTGTGCAGCCTCTGGCTCTGCTTTTGGCGAGGGAGAGCGGGAGAGGCAAAGCAAGAACCACGGGGACACTAATACACACACAAAAACGATCTGCCTGTGTGTGGGCAACACAAGCGCTCGGCTGTGCTCGGCTGGGCTCGGCCCGACTCGGCTTGGCTTGTGCAGCCTCTGGCTCTGCTTTTGGGCTCTGCTGCTGGACGCTGAGCGCACCTGTCTCCCCAGAAACGCGACGCCCGCGCCGTCGATTAGCGGTCGCACCTAGAAGAAGCAGCACACGCGACAGCCCCCGCTCGGCATATCCCCAACGGTAAGTCCGTGGATCGCTTGGTGAGCAGCAGCAGCCGCCGCAGTCGCAGTCGCGGCAGTCGCCGTTTTTCAAATGCTAAAATTGGCGATTAGTCAAAATGATGTCACCGAGTTATTTTGATTGTTTTTTATATACATACGTATTTATTTATTTATTTTGCTTTGCTTTGCTTTCGGTTTATTTTGCTTTGCTTTTGGCATTTCGTTGACTTCGAAATGCGCCCAGTTCCAAGCGAGCCCATCAATTTCAGCTTTACGAAGTTCACAGGGAATTGTAATTGGATATGGATAATGGATAACGAATGACGGATAAAGGATGAAACGAATGAAGATATATATTATGGATATTATGTATGGCACTTTCTGAGGAACTAATTGAAGTTTAGGTCATGTTTCCAATTAGGGAATTAGAAATTGAAATAAAATTGTGTTAGAATCTCACAAGTTAGTGCGAAATTTAAAACAAATCAATCAAAACTCCAAAAAAGTCGGTTAATCATTGAAGTAAGACATTAAACCAAGAGTGTAAAACAGTTTATTTAAAAAACTTTAACTTTAACTTGCTTAATGCATCCTACACTAATTCTGTAAGACAGAACCGAGAGAAAACACCTCCATTGGTTGATTTAACGATCATATCATCATATGCCTTTAAAAGGTCTGTTATGATTAAATCGCCAATTGATGGACAAGTAGCTAACAACTGGAACTGTATATTATGTACGTACAGTAGATGCTCGTGAAATGGAACAACTAGAAATTGAAATATTTTTAACACCTTCCATACTTTCTCACTCTAGAGTTCTATAGAGTTCTCAAAAATTTGTCTATTGAAATCATTTAATTTATTGCTAATTTAAAAAAGCTTTTGCTTTAGGAGGTCCCACTTGCCGAGTTTCCACTGTATCAGATTACTTGTGCCATTTAGGGAGTAAGATCTGATCTAATGCACTGAGGCAAGCAGAAATTGAAGAAAACAAGTAAATAAATGACAAAGCTAAGCAAGGGCAGTGTCCGACTAGCATACACCCTGTACCCAGAGGCAAGCACTTATACATAAGTTCTAAAAGTGAAATACTCTGAAACTGTCTATATTATTGTATATATATTCTGTAAACAGTGAACATTTATGTAAACTGTTAAAAGTCAACAGCCGCTAAATCTAGTGTTGTAAAGCAATAGTAGTATAAGACATATATGTATATGTATTTATTGTAAATAAAGATTACAATTCCTAGATCGGAAGAACTTGGCGTTCTGCCTGTTACATACACTTGCCCAGAACCAATATACCCTTTTAAGCCATTTTCAATGGGTTAAGGGTATAAAAAACAACCGCAAATGAAAACAAAACAAAAAACAACTCATTAAATTACGGAATGCCTCAAAAATAGATAAAACATAGCATGAGGATTGAGCCAGGGGCGGGGGAAGGTGGCAAGATGACAATTGATATGCTTAAGTAAATAATTAAAGTCGGTTGCAATCGTTTAATTTGAAAGAACAAGCCACAAATAAATAAAAGCAAAGCGAACACAAAAATGCGTAAACTATCCTAGTCATAGGCGAGAGGGGAAAGAGGAAGGGGTGTGAAAAGTGAGCACTTGGCAAAGACGTAGGAGGGGGAGGGGGGGAGGGGGGAGGCTCAAGGGTGCCAGCTGCTACGTTGCGACGCGTCGCAGCGTATTTTTATGAATGAACATTTTGCTATGCTATATTTTGTTGTTTTATGTTTTAAACAAAAGTTGTCGCACAATTTGATTTAAGTCTAATTTGCTAACCTGTTAATATTTTTATTTTAGGGCTTTAGGGCTGCGTCGTCCTATGCGTCACTTTTGACCTGCGACAGATTTTGCGTTTGGCCTCTGCTTGAAGCTGGTACGCTGCTCTAGCTGCTGCTTCCTCTTCGCTTAACTGTTGTTCTTTTATATTTTTGGAGAATTTGTTCACCTGGTGCGCCCTTTGCCACTGTTTTATGCTGACTTTGGCCTTGCGAAATATGTTGACAGACAGATATACTATAACTTCTGTTTTCTGTTTTCGGGCTATCTTCGACTTCGCGTTTAGGCTGCCCGAGACGCACATATACAAGCGCACGCACGCACACACATAAACACTGGCACACACACACACTCACACAACAAACACAGCTTCGTAAGCTGGATGAATTTTATTTTTTGGTAATTCGCTCTTGTTTCTTGTGGATAAACAACAGAGGTTTTGCACACACGCACACGACGTGTTTTTAATTGTTAGTTGTTTGCTGGGGACTTCTTATCAACAGATTTTGTTTACGCAGCGGTTGCAAAAAAACGTCGCCCGCTGCTGCACTTGACTACTTTCAACCACCGACTGGCCAGTGTGACCAGTTCGAGAAATGCGCCAAAATCTCTGCTCAACAAATGTACAAGTAATTAATGCAGCGTGACCGTATGCGCCAAAAATACCAAACACCATAGCTCTGGCAATATACCATTTTGCCGGCTACTGGCAATTATTTAAAATTCAATTAAAAAATGTATCATCAGTTTTTATGACTTGCTACAAACTGTTTTTGGTTAATATATTTAAGGACAACACAACATTATGTGCCACACAACGTACACACAAATTCGACAATTAATAACACCTGATGCGGATTACACGCCATGGCTTTTGCCTGTTTTAATAATTGAGTTATTTTCCTATACATCTACTCCTCCTTTAAGGGTATATCCCTCGTCGTTGTGTCGTTCCGTTCCCGACGCGCCCGCTCCTTCAGCTGGGCCGTCTTCAACGTGGCCATCATTTGCGTTGAGTTATAAAGCCAAGTGCCCTGCATTAAAAATGTATATTTATAAATAAAATAAATATGCAAAAGACACGTATCCATCATTTGCCGACTCACAATCAGCAGCATGCAGTTCAGTAATATGGGAATGGAGAACACAGTCGAGATAAAAAGGCCGTTGCCATCAAAGTACTGCTGCTTGGAGAATGTTTTCCAATTCTGTGCCGCATATTCGTTGATGCTCTCAGAGAAGTAAACAACAGACACTACAAAAAGAATACAAAAACAAAAGAACAACAATTAAAAAAAGTCAACTTTGAGCGGTCAGAGTCCGTACTTACACAGAACAAGGAACAGAAAAACTTGGAAATTTGTGTTGTTTCGGGTGAGCAGAGCCGTGCTAGTCGTCAGCACGTGCAGTAAAATGAGTCCTATAAGCCACGGATCCTTCCAATCGATCTGATAATGCGGAGTACCTGGGTCAACATAATTTATCTACAGCTTTTCACTGCTGCACACTTACGCTTAATAGAAATGACCAAACGCCGGTAATTTCATTGACTTCAATTTGCCCGGCATGCATATTTCGACGTTTTTCAACAACTTTTCAATGTAAGTTTTACTTTTAGAAAAAATCGCGGGAGCGGCAGAAAATTCTCTGTGTAAGCAGCCACGCACAAAAAAGGTAAACAACAAATGTAAAAAAAAACATCAACTTATCGAGATATCGATAGTTGGTATGACCATCGCTAGCAAACAGCTGATGTAGCGATATACATTAAACATCGCACGGTATATCGGTGATGCAATGCTATTTCATACGTAAACAATGAACTTCAGACTGACCAAATATTGTGTGTGTATAATCAGTAGAAAAGAAAAATTTGCAGCCCTGGTTGCGATTGGCCATACTGCTATCATGCAGCTTGAACGTCTCAACTTTGCTTTCACTGACTCAGTAGACTCCAACATTAACAAAATCTGAAAAATTCTCCACAAAGAATTTGTTAAATACAGTCAAAATTATAGTAAACATAAACCAAAGCATTATTTTTGTTGTTGTTCAACGTGCTAACGTGCGAGCAAATCAAATCAGGAATTTCGTAAACGTGCGACGAGAATTATTAAGAAGGTGTTGTCGCCAGTGACAAAACGGAAATTGAGCTAAAAACAAAGCGAGCGTCGTCTCTGTCTGTGCCGCTGCCTCTGCAGCCCCCCTCCTACCCCCGCGAGCGTAAAGTGTCGGAACAGTGTAGGAGAGTGTTGCACAGCAAAACAGGACAGTGTGGCGACAGTGTGCACAACGGAGCAGAGCTTATCTAGCCTGGCGCACTTTTATTTTCTGCTCGCTGAATGGCTGACTTTGGCTTGCGTTTTGTTTATTGTTATTGTTGTTAAGCAATTGGATATTGTGCTCTGCTGCTCGAGCTAAAATTAAAAAACAGCAACAACGACTCGCAACGGCAACTGGCTCAAGGACACGCGGCGACTGCGCCACCGACGGCCACACAACAACAGCCGCAGCGCCCGCGCCAAACAGAAGCCCAAACGTCCAAGAAAACGCGTGCCGCCCAGGCGCCGGCGTCTCCACAGCGAACAGCTGCAATTAGCACCCTTTGACATGGCTGTCAAGCAGAACAACTCCGAGCAGAACGAGGTGGCGCCCGGCCAAGCTGCCGGCGGCTCGGCTGCAGCCAATGCGGGCGCAGGCGGAGCAGGAGCAGTTGGAGCTGCGTCTCCCAATGGCAAATCCACAATGCCGGGCAACATCTCAGACGAAGGCGGCGGCGGCGGCGGTGGGCAGGCCAACGATGCCAGCAGCCAGACGACGTCTGGCAAATCGCAGACAAACGCTCGCGAAGTGGGCGGAGCGGGCGGCACCGGAAGCACTGGGAGCAGCAGCAGCAGCACCAGCGCCGCCGATAGACAGCACGGTTTCAATGCGCTGCTAAACATAATGCAGGGCATCGATCCGGAGGATCAGAAGGCGATGCGCATCTATCAGATCGTCATCTGCAATCTGGCCGGAATGCATGTGAGCAGCGCGCCGGCAGATCTCAAGCTGTTCAAGGAGAACATCACCAAGATTGGCCAGTTTCTGGCGGTGCCCAACAAGAAGCGCTATCTGATGTTCTATCTGCGCTTTGTCTACCAGCTGATCACACAGTCCGCGGAGCCGCCCTCGTGCGCCGTGGCCATTGTGTTCCATCTGTTCAGTCCGGATCTCATTATTGAGGCGGTGCAGTCGCTGCTCGATCTGAATGTCCAGGACGAGAGCATACGAAAGACGGTCGGGCTGCTCTGCAAGTGGATACATGTCTGCAACTTTTGCCAGAATCTCAATCATTGGATTATGGCCCTGTTGCAGGGACTGCGCGAACAGGAGAAGTATCTGCTGCTCGACGAGATCGCACTCGATAATATTGAGCATCTGTTCCGGCTGATGATCTTGCCCGCTTTGCGTCCCAAGGTGGCGCCCATTGTCTTTCACATGCTCTCCACCATCAATCAGACGCCCGAAATATTCCACAAGGTGAGCTTTACCCTAGAGCCGCTGAACGCCGGGTAATAACTGAATATCAATTATTCTCCCTCTTCCTTAGATATTGCCAAACATACCGCTGGTGATTGGCGCCATGAAGAGCAAGCCAAATAACTTGGATAGCGCGTCGAGCGATGCGCGCAACTATATCCAACAGCTGGTCGATTTGTTCAATGCGCTGATGATACGCTTCTATGACAACGATGAGCTCTATGCACCTTTAAAGGCCACACTCCAGATGTACGAGCCCTCGCAGAATTGCATGGCATTTGCCCGGGCGCTGTTCGAGAATGCGCTGCCACGGAATGCACGCGTCGGTCTGGTCAATCTGGGCAATACCTGCTACATGAACAGCGTGCTCCAGGCGCTGGCCATGACCAGCGAGTAAGTGTAGCCACAAGATTTACAAGATAGAGCTCTGCATCGTTTAATTTACTTGCCTCAAACTCAAATACTTGATCGAGCTGTCGATGTTCGAACAAATGATTCGCCAAACTCCCGAGCTGAACTCGAATACTCGTTCGAGCTGGAGATGTTCGATGAAATGATTCATTAAACCCTCGACCACAACTCGAATACTCGTTCGAGCTGCCGATGTTTGCATAAATGATTCAACAAACCCGCGAGCACAACTCGGAAATTCGTTCGGCCTATCGATGTTCGAATAAATGATTCATCAAACTCCCGACCACAACTCGAATACTCGTTCGAGCTTTCAATGTTCGTTAAAATGAAGTTGCAAACGAAGTTTCAACTCACTTCGAACATGTTCGGGCCAACAGTGTTGCATTCTGCTCGAACACAACCGAGTTTGAAGCGTGCCCGAACAGCTTGATTGTTGTATCCGAAACGAGTTGCGCTCGACTCGATGCAGGGCTCTAATCTATAAGAATAACTCACTCAGTTTTTGTCTCCGTTTAGCTTTGTGCGGCAAATCCTGCTGATTGAGAGCGGCTCCATGCTGTTGCAGAAGGTGCAGCAGCAGATTGCGCTAATGCATCATTCGATGCGCTACGAGCTGACGCCGTTGCGGGTGCTGAAGGCGACACGTCCGCCGGGCTTTACGCCCGGGTTGCAGCAGGACAGCTCCGAGTTCCTAGGCTATTTGCTGGACCTGCTGCACGAGCACGAGATCAACAGCGGGGCGGCGCAGCACATGGACACGGACAGCTGCGTGGGACAGCTGCCCAAGGAGGTCAAGACAAGCAGCGAGCCGGCGCTGCTAACCGATGAGATTGTGGCCGCCGGCGTTATACCCTACAATAGCAATGATCATGTGCACAATGCCAGGCCAAATGCACCGGCTATTGGCCCAGCCACGCCCACATCGATGCCCACCAACGCAGCACCGAAGAAGCCCTCAACCATAGACAAAACGTTCGCCGGCAAATTGTCGACGACATACAAATGCTTGAGCTGCGCCTGGGAGAGCCGCAACGAGGACAGCTTCCGCGAGCTGCAGCTATCGTTTCCGGACGACAAGGTCGACTGCGGCGCCACCAATTATTCGGTGCAGGATCTGATCGACTACTACTGCTCGCCGGAGAAACTGGATGGCGATAATCAATACTTTTGCGCCCGCTGCAAGAAACTGTGCGATGCGGAGCGTCGGATTGCCATCACCCAGGCGCCGCGCAATCTAATCCTTACGCTGAAGCAGTTCAAATACGATCAGAAATATCATTTTCGCACCAAGCTCATGCACAAGGTGTTCCACGATGAGAGCGTAAGTGATGTGGGCTCACTCCAATCGAATCCCAATTCACAATCTTTTCTTTCCAGGTAATTGTGAAGGTGTGCGCCAACGATTCGCTGCTGGAAACGTGCACCGTACACTATGATCTGTACGCGGGCGTCGTCCATGCCGGCTACAGCATGGACTCGGGTCATTATTTCACCTTTGCCGCCGATCAGTCGAAGAATTGGTTCAAGTTCAACGACAGCCTGGTGACCAATTCGAAGCCCCAGGAAATGCACAGTCTGACCTCACCGAACACGCCCTACATCCTATTCTACCAAATGTGCGGCCGATCCACCGAATCGACGCCCGATGGACCCATGCATCCGATGGTCCCGGTGCCCCTCGTTCCCCCCCTCACGCTCGACGAGCTGCCGCGCGGCTTGCGCGATTATGTGAAGAACGATAATCGGGATTATAGCGAGGAGCTGAAGCTGCAGCGCTTCAAGCGCAATGCCAAACGGAACACGATGAGCGGCAATGGAACGATGAATGGACGCAATGGCTACGAGGGCGACGACGAGGACGACCATATGCCGCCTCCGGCGGGCGGGTGTGGCGGCAACGATATGGGCATGAATATCAATCGTTTTGTGTACTGATTGTGCGTAGTTCCACATACACTGTACGCAATATATATATATATATTTTACAATATATATATACCCTATATATACACACCAACACACACACACACACACCTTCACACGCAGCGTACTATTTAGCGTTATATAAGTATATATATATATAGAAAATTATGCGGTTCATTCAAATGCATGTGCAGAGTATGGCTACAGTCTGCACTCGCTAAGGCCAACGGCAGTTTACACACACACACACACACACACACACACACCTACTATTGTTGTCATGTTCCTTAAAAACCACACACACTGAACAGCAGAAACTACAATTGTATTTCCATTTACAAATTTGTTATAATTTTTACGCATTGTTTTTGTTAACACAAATTTAGTTATAGCCTTTAACATATACATATATATATATATATATACATATATATTATACACATACATATTAAAGCATATAAATTAGCCAGCAAGAGAGAATGTTACGATACTCCCTAGCTCCCTAGCTATATATATATATATATATCTTTACTACCAAACCAAATCAAGTTTATAGAGAAAAAGAAACGGGATAACTTCCAAAACTGGCCTCCAAGAACATACCCTGTAAAACGACCTACCTATATTCAGCTCTATTTAAGTTCTTAACGCACAGATCGTTAAAAAAACTATAAAAAAAACTATTGTGCTTGTAAATTTGTGAAACAATGTTTTTAAGGCAGCAAACCGACAGCAACAGAATTCTTATAATCTAATCGAAATGCATGTAGCGAACTTTCTTTTTAACTTTTGTGAATTTCTAAAATTTACTTTTGATGTAACACGAATTTTTGTCTGATTGGAGTATCGTGAAGAAGATGAAGAAAATATATAATCACGTTAAGGTTTTGAATATTATTGCAATTAAATTGGAATAATTTCAATTCAATAAGTGTATATGCTGTAACTTATGAATATTTATCTATTACATTTATAAGGGTATCAAATAAAACTGAAAACACGAAACTCAAGCATTTCTTACTTACATTTTTGAGCTTGTCATTTAATGTACAGAGTATGAATCCAGTCGATCAGTGCCAAATTGTTGATATTGTGGCGGCTGCACGATATACATTATTCGTGGTATTTAGTGAGTATTTTTTACTTTGACAGCCAACGGTCACACTCTCCAGTAAAATCTAGCCCACAAAAGCCTCCAGCTGAAAATCGCTACACACACACACACGCACGCACGAACACACAGGCAGTTTGGAGCGCGCCTATAAAATGAGCAATACGCGGCGCGCTCTCGAACAGTCTCTTGATTTGTGGAGCATATTATTAAGACCAAACGCGGCGGTCGTCCAGTCAGTCGACGCAGAGCGCTGCAGCAGCAACAACGACGACGACGACGTCGACTACTACGACAATTAGAACGTGCAAAGTGCAAAAGTAAATAAATAGCGTGCTAAAACATTGTTATGACACGCGTGGCGCACAAATCTGTGGAATCAGTGTGGAAAATCCGACTACCAAGCGCATAATTTGGCCACAAATAAACGCTCTTTTATGGCGCATCAGCGACACAAACGCTCAGCGACTGCCAGCAAATTCTACAAGAACAATAACAGCAGCAGCAGCAGCAGCAGCTAACATAAAGCAAAAAAAAAACCATACCAAAAAACAACAACAGATATTGCTGATTTATACAAATACAAATATTTTGCTAACTTTTGTACCAACAACGTTTATTTAGAGCACAATTGATTTATTGTTGTTGTTATTTTCTGGCACAAATTGCCTACGGAAGACGTTGCCAGCTGTTCGCTGTGAAAAATTGCGGTAAAATATTGACAATCCAATAAGAACAACAACAACAAGAAAAAAGTGGGCAGCCCGGTCAACGTCCTGCTGCCGTACAAAAAAGTGTGGTTATGCACGGCATTGTCCTCGCTGCCGTCGGCTGTTGAAGGTGAGCCAAGGACATTGTGCCCTGCCTGCCGGCAGTTGGAAGCTCTCTCGTAGCGCGGCCTATCAAAATTTGTTGAAGATAACAGCCCTGTGTGCGGGCAGCAACTGATCCCGAACCACACCCCTGCCCCATACACACAGACACGCAAAGGTCGCCCAAGATGCGTATTTTTCCCGTGCGACTCTCGGCCGTCTCGTCGTCCATGGCGAGCCTGGCCAAAATGTTGGATTTCTACTCAGGCTTCAATCCGTCGCCGCTTTCAATTAAACAGTTTATGGATTTCGGTAAGTCAAACAGAAATTTATTTATAAATATATTACAACGGCGGGGTCCTTGCCGGCTTTCGTTAAGTTGCCTCGTCTCGCTTCCTCTACCCCCTTGCTCTTATCTAGTTCGCGTCTGTGTGTGTGTGTTTGTTGTTTTGCTTTTGCTGCGTGGTCGTTGAATAATTATTGTTATTCTCATACAAATGTAACAAACATTTGATGCCTTTCTGTGACGTCAGCACGTGCGCTCGCCACCCAAATCGATTGATTTGCCGCTTTGATCTTATCGGCTCGGCTCTTGCGTAACCTCTCTACACTATGAGAATCTTTTGTTAACTCGACGAAAGCGACGTTTCTTTGATTTAAAAAGCACTCAAGTTTCGACTCATATGGGATGTACTCATTCAGTACGTGACGAAGCTTAGCTTGGACTGCATATGGAATTACTTTGTTGTACTGCGCAAATTGCCGTTATCTAATGCCCAATTTATTTCCATTGGGCTGTCAATTAAGCAGTTTTCACTGTACAACAACAACAGCAGACTGTTGGCTATGCAGAACTCAAGCCAGACTCAGCGAGAGAGGGAGAGAGAGAGAGAGAGAGATAAATAAACAGCCGTCTCGATTGGACGCTTCAGTCCCGAGCGCTGGATTAAACGACTATAGAAAAACGGAAGTTCCCACAAATAGATTCATTTTTCATGAGCCGTCCGCAGTAAATGACAATGAAATTTAATATTTTAGCTACAAGTTGTTAAACCCCTTCCCAACAGTTGCAATGACAGCTGGCACGTGCTGCCCAAGGACGTTTCAATGTCATTTACATGCACAAACATGCATAGGCACATATGTATATATATATGTATATGTATGTATATATGTATGTATATTTATAAGTGTTCTAAACCGCACCAAAACCTGCCCCAATAAGCTGAATGAAGCATAGCATATGACACTATGATATACCCTATAAACATTGTAAATTACATGTGGGAGATATGAGCTAACATAATGATACTTTTTCGAGAAAAGTTCTTCTAGAAATACTTGATATCTAGGGAAAAACATGGCTGATAAGTATTTAATCAGCTTGCGAATATTTATCATAAATGTATCTAGGGAAAGAGTACAAGTTTTTTATGTGCAGGAAATTGGGCCGTTAGATGACAATTGTTAATAAAAAAAAGAGGGAAAAGAAAGGCGGTATAATATAATAATTAAACTATAAATAAGCGAGTATGTCGATTTGTTATACGTACATACATATATGGGGTATATATAACAAGCGACCTATTCTGACCTATATATAGGGTATATAAAACAAGCTACCTATTCTGACCTATATATAGGGTATATATAACAAGCGACCTCTTCTTTCACCTTTATATAGGGTATCTATAGCAAGCGACCTTTTCCTTCACCTTTTAATAGGGTATCTATAACAAGCGACCTTTTCTTTCACCTTTTAATAGGGTATCTATAACAAGCGACCCTTTCCCTAAGCTCCTGTCAGTCTTCAAAAGTTCTTGGCCCACGGCCCAAAAGGCAACTGGCTTGGAAACAATGCGGCCAAGTCGAGCCAAGTGGCTGACAGACCCAGTTTTATTTGGTGGAGGAGGACGGGGGGGGGGGTGGCTACTCTAGCAGGGAGCTATATATAGAGAGAAAAGCAAGGAGGAGGCAAGGCTCCTCGCAAAGGGTTTATTAATAGAAATTGTATGAAACAGGCTCGGGACGTGTTTCTGCCAACATTCAAGTATGTGCTCATTAAATATACAAAAAAAAAAAACAACACTTTTTATCCATTGTTTATAATCTTTTGTTTTTGTTTTCATTTTTTATGAGGTACAAATAAAATAAATAAAGGCTTTTCTAGTTAATTCAATATAAAATATGTGTGTGTCTTTGTGTGACTGTACTTGAACTTTGATGCAAGCGATAAGATTTGAGCGGCTTTTGTTGCCAACTGTACTTAGCTAGAGGCATGCACACATACATACATACATAAGTATCTGTGCAAGGTTGCTAGCATTTTCCATGGGAAAGCGCTCAGCTGTGAATATTCACAACATGTCGTAGCTGAAAATGTGAACAATATGTTCCATGCCATTTTAATATATGGCATACATATGTTAAGTGTGCGAAACTCGTATTATCACCTTTACATGCCGCATAGCCCCGTAAAACAATAACATAACACTATCAACTGGGCCACTTTAGATAGCTGTTAATAATTATTATTGACTATTTAGGCTAAACTGTACAGTGAAAGCCCTTCGGAGCGAACAAACATGAAGAAGAATGTGAAGAAGTAAGAACATATTGGAAAATCAGTATAAGAAAAAACAACATTTTATATGTTAACATTTTTTAAATTTGTACATATTCCAATAAAAGTTTTGATGATTATTTTCCTAAGTTTTAGATAAGGGTCGAAAAGTTAGGGGTAGATGATTATTAAACTAACTTTTAGGTTAGGTTCTGTCCAGCTATTTTTCCACTAAAAGTAGCTTAACTCTTTTGAGCCGTCCGTTAGTTGAGTTTTTACTGTACTTAGCTTATACTATACATAAGTGAAGCCCTAATCACTTTCCCTATCAATGGCCCCATGGAAAAACAATATGTCAGAGAATATCAAATATTTGATATGGCAAATTCGGAGGCTCGTTGTGATTATCGAAGCTGATCATGTGCCAAATAATTTGTGAAAAACATTTCATGTGTTAAATATAAGAATAACAACAACAAATGCGGTGACTAAAGTGGAAAAATATAGACACGAATATATATGCAAATCGAAATTTGACGCATCCGTTAAGTATACGCCCCGTGTGTGTGTGACCATCTAAAGCAATAACCAACAGCATCACACGCAAATTTTGGACTTTGGCAACACTTGAACTTTGGATTCATCAACGGGTTTCGGGCAGACAAAAAAAAACAAACAAACACAGACGTCAAAACCTAACCCAAATAGAAAAAGAAGAAGCATAACAAACAAGGCGAAAAAAAAAATAAATTGGCAAAAAAAGAAGCGAAAAAAATCGCTCAACACCCCCGTGTTTTTTTTTTTTTCGATACTCGTGATAATAATGTCAGAGCCACACGCGCGGCGAGTTTCTACGCACTTAACCAATGGCCTGCAGGGTATATGCGAACTTTGGCCAGCCTGTGCTACTTACGCAAATTGAACTCAGTATTTATGTTGAATTTTGAATTTTACAGCACTTGTCGTCAAGGTCTACGCTTTCGTCAAGTTTAGCATACAAACATACACACCTGCATACTTGTATGCGTGTAACTGCAAGGCATCGCCGAGTCCAGCATTTAATTCTTTCGTTTCTCTTTTTTTGCTCTTGCTCGCACGTTTCTCGGCAGCGGGGCAGGGGCGCGGCAAAGGCGAATGTGAGTCAAATATACGCAAAAGATGTCGTCGGCAAAAGTGGATCTAATAAATACATATACATATATGTACATATGTACATATGTACATATGTTGATGCAATAGCCAAAGATGCCAATTTAGCTGTGACGTCACGCGCATCTGCTCAAGTGGCATTATTTAGCTAATGTTACTGTAATTGAAATAGAAAACTGCACGTGTAACTGTAATTGCAATGGGAACATTTCCGTTGTGCGCTCAACTCGACTTGCGACTATCCCTGACCTTGGTCGAGTGTGTGGCGGGCGGGATGGGGTGGGTTGAGAATGGCTGTGCGTATTAAGAAATTGCCGCCCGCTGCGTGTGTTGTAAATTATTTATTGCATTTTCCAGCACTCGCATGCAATTGAGTAATTGTAAGTGCGCTGCTGACTAAACAGTCAACAAGAAGAAGCATTCAATTGAGTACTAAGTGAATTCGTGACGTTAGTATTTGTCACCTGTTTATATCCAATTACTGTTAACTACATTGATTATGCCTACGCACACGCGGCCCAGATGCGGGAATTAAGAAACGATTATTGTTTATTAATATTAATATTTCACTTATCACGCAAGGCGAAACGAAAGTGAAGACGGGCCTTATCAATGCCGATGCATCAAAGTTCTTGTCAAGTGCCAGACGGGTCCGATCAAGTCATCAGAAGTCTCTGTTTTTTTCGCAAACACAGTCGAAGTCGAAGGCATAGCAATAATAATAAAAACACACACACACACACACACACACGTATTTACAGTCAAAGCAGCCTTCCGCTTCTATTCCAACAACAAATCATAAACATGAAAAAAAGCTCAATTTTAAGGTCAGCAGCTGGCGCTGGTGTATGGTGGTCAGAGGGAGAGTAAGAGAGAGGGTGAGAAGGGGGGGGGGCAGATGCTCAAGCATTGCGCGTGTCTGCTGATCGCGCTTTTGCGCTCACTCCCTTTCTCTCGCACTCTCGCGCTCGTTCGTTATCTCTCCATATCCAGCCGGCAGTTTCTCGCAAATTCTAATTGGGCTGACGTCGTCGCTTGTTTTGATGTTTTGTTTTTTTCATTTTCTTATGAACCTGTTTGAGCGCAACTTTTGTTGTCTTTTTGTTCTCTTGTGTTTTTATAGCCCGTTTTATTGATTCTGTTTTGTTTTCCGAATTCGTTACAATAGCGGCCCATAAACAAAATGGCCGACAAAGCTATCGAAGCATTTATGACTAACTTTTAACACAAAGAAATACATACTTATGCATATATGTACATATGTATGTATGTATTATTTGTTTTCGCCTTGCGATTGGAATGCCGAAATTCATCGTAAATTTTTGATGAGGCCCTCTGTAAATGTTGTTGACACTCTTTGGATTGCCCTCTGGGTCTCTTATCAGTCTCTTTGGTTAGATTACGCGTTAATATGGGCTCGCTGCGTTCAAAGTAATCAACGAAATTAAACGTCAACCGAAAAAAAGAGAGGCGTGTCTTGGCAAACTCTGACAACAGATGGCGTTCAGTTCAGTTCAAGGTCTCCAAATTAAAAACAATTTGATGCGCACAAGTGTGTACACATGTCTCTCCACATAAATGTAAATGTATTTCGAATTAATTTTCGACTTGTCGCCGAGTTCGTTGTGCTTATCAGTCAGTCGGTCAGTTGGTCGGTCGGTTTGTCTGTCCGTCTGTCGCTTCGAATCGCATGTTTCTGCTTTTCCTTTGTTGTTTTTGTTACGAAATTGTTGACGAACAACAAAACACATGAAAAGTGCAAAGTTTTTGTGCGGCTTTGTTTCGGTTTATTGACTAAAACATTGCTTTTCGTTCTGGGTTTTTGAACTGAGCTCATTCTGTTTAAGTAAACAATTAAGTATCGAATAGCTCAAGATTGAGCACAAATAAAAATAGCAACTGGGCTCTAAAGCACAAATCTTGCTCGACTTTCGGTTACCTTATAAATTGGTCAAAACTGAGATTTTTTTATGAATTTATCTTTATGAATTCTTCATTTAAATTTGGGAACACTGTTTTGTTTAGTTTTCTCCAAATATCGTAATAAGTCGTCACATTTCTTCATTTAAATTTGGGAACACTGTTTTGTTTATTTTTCTCCAAATATCGTAATGGGAACACTTTTTACAATCAGCTTTTCGAGCGAACTGTGTTTTTCGGAATAAATAAACCCTTTTTATTTAATCAGCAAGCTTTTTTCTTATAGCACCTGACTACCCCTATTGAGTACAGGGTATACTCGCGTCCGATTTACTTTCATTTATTTCTTAATCATTCATTAAGCCTTTTGTATTCTGTATTTCAATTGGAAATACGAATATCGTAATGGGCAGGGTCCAAACTTTTCAGAATCAGTTTTTCTAAGCAATTGTTCTTTCCCTTTATTTTTACTCACTAACCATTTTTTTTATAGTTCCTGACTACCCCTATTGAATATAGGGTATACTCATATTACGATTTGCCTTAATTTATTTCTTAGTCAGCCATTAATCTTTAGGAATTCTGTATTTAAATTGGGAACACTGTTTCCCTCACTTTTCTTTATTTAAATTTGGGAACACTGTTTCGTTTTTCTCCAAATATCATAATGGGAACACTTTTTAGTGCTCAGCTTTTCAAGCGAATTGTCGTTTTGGTCTAATTAAAGCCTTTTCATTTACTCATTAGCCTTTTTTTAATTATTCCCTACTACCCCTATTGAGTACAGGGTATACTCGCGTCCAATTTGCCTTGATTGTTGCATTTTTCTAATCATTCATTCGAGGAATTCGTTGAACTCAAACTCTGACCCATTGCCCGAGTGCATGCAATCAATGCAAATGCGTCGCTTATTCCCGGGACTTGTAAATGCAATCCAGTCCCTGATAAGCGAAACTAGAACAAACACTATAAATCTTAATAGTTCTCATTAATAATTCCCCTCTCCTCCCCCCTCTCTCTCTCTCCCTCCTGCAGGCCAAAATGCGTGCGAAAAGAAATCGTTTATATTTCTGCGCAAGGAGCTGCCCGTGCGGCTGGCGAATATCATGAAGGAGATCGCCCTGCTGCCGGATAATCTGCTGCACACGCGATCCGTGAGCGAGGTGAGCTCCTGGTACGTGAAGAGCTTCGAGGATGTGCTGGAGTACGAGAAGATCGAGCCCACCCACGAGAATCTGCAAAAGTGCGAAGCCGCAAAGTAACCAAATAAACCTATTTATCCTATTAATCATATTTTTGTTGGCTTGCAGATTTGTGCGCGATTTGGATCTGATTAGGAATCGGCACAACGATGTGGTGCAAACGATGGCCCAGGGCGTCATCGAGATGAAGGAGAACGAGGGCGGGCAGGTGGACGCGCCCACCGAGAGCTCCATACAATACTTTCTCGATCGTCTCTACATGTCGCGCATCAGCATACGCATGCTCATCAATCAGCACAGTGAGATGCCCCACAAATATACCCTATCTATACACTATAATCAAGCTCTCCTCTCCTCCCTTGTAGCCCTTCTCTTCGGCTCGAATCCGCATTCGCTGGGCCGGCATATTGGCTGCCTGGATCCCGCCTGCGATTTGTCGGACGTTGTGCGGGACGCGTACGAGAACGCGCGCTTTCTCTGTGATCAATACTATCTGGCCAGCCCCGCGCTGGAGATCCAGCAGTACAGCAGCACGGACGAGGGTGTGCCCATCCGGACCGTGTACGTGCCATCGCATTTGTACTATATGCTCTTCGAGCTGTTCAAGAACTCGATGCGCGCCGTTGTCGAGCATCATAGCCGTGACAATTGCGACACGCTGCCGCCGCTCAAGGTGGCCATTTGTCGCGGCAAGGAGGACATTTGCGTCAAGATCTCCGATCAGGGCGGCGGCATACCGCGCTCCCAGTCCGATCAGCTCTTCAAGTACATGTACAGCACAGCGCCGCAGCCATCCAAATCCGATCTGCATACGGTCCCCTTAGCCGGCTACGGCTACGGCCTGCCCATCTCACGGCTCTATGCCCGCTATTTCCATGGCGATATCGTGCTGCTGTCCTGCGAGGGATTCGGCACCGATGCCATTATCTACCTGAAGGTAAGCTTTGACGGGTTTGAAGCAGGATTTAACGCTTCTCTGCAAATTGTTGTAATATGTTGAATATATATTCCTGCTTGATCCAAGTCGATCTGGCCATGTCTTCCTCTCCATACGTCAGCTTCTATGTACGAAGACGTCCATCTCGATAGCTAAAAGGATCTTGAAATTTGGAATGTAGCTCTTCCTTGGAGCACAAAAACTTCCAACTTTAACCATTATTAACTCAACCCTTTTCCACACAATCAATGAAACTCGATAGGATCAACATGTTATAAGAGCTTATGCCTAAAAGAGCTAGATCTAGTACATACCCAAGTTCCGTATAGGGGATATATTAGGGTATACACAGGTCCAGAATAACTCACATTTCTCATAACTCCTCCCGTTGAGGGAGAAAAGATGCCTCATTGAAAGAAGCCGCATTTTTAGAGATATATTCTTGGTCCTTGGTATAGACACACTCCTCCATGGCATATTGAATACTTGAAATTTTCAAAGAGATCGGCCAATAAATACCCAAGTTAATTGAGAACGTATTTAGGATATGCTTATAAGAGCTAAATCTTTTACATACCACGGTCCGTATATGGGATCTCTAAAGGTTACGCAGATCCGGAATAGCTTACATTTCAGATAACTCCTCCAGTTTCTTCCAAATTCAAAAGAAAGCTCATTTTCAGAGTTATATTCTTGGTCCTTGGCATATACACACTCCTCTATGACATATTTAATACCTGAAAATTTCAAAAAGATCAGATCATAAATACCCAAGTTAATGGAGGTCTAATGGGGTCTAAGGGACGAATATCTATATAGCTTTATCATTAACTTTTCGGAGATATATTCCTAATCCTTGGTATATATGTACATACTTCAGTAGGCCATTTTTTAACCCTGAAGTTTTCAAAAAGATCAGATCATTAATACCCAAGTTAATTGAGATAGCTTTAAGCATAGTTTGGGCTCTACGGGAAGAATACCCTATAATCATTATCTAGCTTCAAATACTAACTGTAACTTCTGCTTTCTGCTTTCTACCCCCCCCTTTTTTGCAGGCGCTTTCTGATGAGGCAAACGAGCTGTTGCCCATCTTCAACAAGACTAGCTCAAAGTTCTATCGGGCGACGGTGCCCACCGGCGATTGGTCCAATCAGGTAAAATACGCTAAGAAGAAGAAGAAGACGAGCGCCGTCAGCCAATAATAAGCCAGGCTGTGTGCACGTGTGTGTGCACGTGTGTGTGTATATGTGTGTGTGTGACGAACCCAAACCCAGAAAAACCCAAAAACCCGAATCCGAATCCGAACCCGAATCCAGAGATAATCAGCACGGAAACCGCAACAAGTCCAAAGTTTTAACTGAAACCTAATTATATATATTATTAATTAATTTTTATGTGTGTTTTATGTTTTCCCCCCATTAATATTATATTTGCATTTTGTCATTTATCTGTTGACATTCCAGAAATTTGAAATATGCGCATTTTTCTACGGGCGGGTTTTTTTTTCTTGTCTTCATTTGGTTTTCTGTTCGTTTTGTAATTAATTAATTAATTTAGTTCTTAAGCACGATTAAGTCATATATTTTAAATATATCTATCTATATATATATTCATATATTTATTGCAAAAAGTCTTTATATATACATATATCTAATCTTGGAACATTTACGAAATTCGTTTTTTAATGTGAATTAGTTTTAAGTTGCGAAAATACATTTTATCTACATTTTATCTGAGCACACACACACACACACACACATATATATAGATATATATACATTTATTTTTTAAGTTCTACTGAAGTTTTAAACAAATAAACTGTTGAAATCTTTATACAAAAAACACACAAACACACGCAATTACCATCTTCTGTTCTTTGTTTACTTTCCATCCAAAACCTGTTTGAACTATTTAACTATAATTAACAAGATTTAGACGCATGCTAATTACTGGAATCGCTTTCATAGTCAAGATTCTTCATTGACTACATCATAGTATTGTTGTTCGAAAATTATATTTTATACATTTTCCAGATCGGACTTCATTTAACTGAGATATGATTATTGTAAGTTTTTCCAAATATAATCTCATGCGAATATCTCGGGAAAAAGTCTTCTGATTTTCGAAAGACATTCATTCTTAGATCAACTGCCATTTAAAGCGAGCGCATTCAAAATTTTGATCAATTTTGACAAAAATTGTTCACAAATTTTCTACAAAATGAGTCGGTTTTGCTCCCAATCGAAGAATTTCCAAGAATCGGACTACATTTAACTGAGATATGATCATTGAAAGTTGTTTTCAAAAATTAATCTCATGCGAATATCTCGGGAAAAAGTCTTCCGATTATCGAAAGATATATCTCTCTAGATCGATTGCCATTAAAAGAGACCGCATTCAAAATTTTGATCAATTTTGACAAAAATTGTTCATAAATTTTTCGAAAAATGGGTCGGTTTTGCTCCCAATCGAAGAATTTCCAAGAAACGAACTTGAATTATGCTGGATATAGCCAGTAAAAATGTTCCTAACTATTATAATTGGAATAATTTGTATAAATAAAGTGCGATTTTTGAAGAATATACAGTTTTGGACCGTGGCTCGTTCTTAGAATAGTCAGTCGAGAGAAATAGAAATCTTTGAAGCGCAAGCTTTCCTTTTTTGTAAGCGACTACTGTACACGATTTATGTATCTATAATTATCTTTAATTTATAACTTTCAACTGCATGACAATCTGCGTTCCTAAAAGAACCTTTTTAATTATTTCCCCCAACCCAAATGTAGCATACTTTCTGGCTAAACCGGAAAAGGTTTCCATTTAAAAAAAAAAATAACCTGTTTGTCGCTTGAAGTTTTTCCCAAACAATTTCCAAAAGTTCATAATTTGTCGACGTCTCTTTTGTTATTTGTATCTTATTTTCGTTTTCTTTCGTTTTCTTCTGACTCTTTGAATTGATTTCTTTCAGAACTTTTCCAATCGCTGGCGTTATATATATGGTTTTATCAAAATGTATAAGAATCCTTAAGACTGTAATAAAAAAAAAAATGAGCCTTGGTCAGTTTTGGTGTCTATCCAACATTTTCTTCAACTTGCAGAGTTTATATATCTCTTGATATGTCTTTTAAATATTATTCTATTAATAATTGATCTATTTGTATCTCAACTTGTCAAACATTCGACTTGATTCTTGTTTGAAAGGTTTAATAACTTTATATGATATTCTTTTTTTTTCGGCAAGATAACCATTTTTTTTTAAATATATAATATATCTTTTATTTATTTTTGTTTTATTTTTTCTTGTTCTTGTTTTTAAAGTTAACTAATTTTGTTAAATATTTTTTTTGTATCATTCTGATTATTTTTATTAAAAATCTTGGGCAATTCTTAAGTTAACTAATTTGCTTAGTCAGTCATTTTAAGTACAAATCTAATTAGAAGATCCTAATTTAATTAGCGCACTTTTCCAAATTGAAATTATCTAGAGAATATATGAAACTTTCGAATACTCTGCAAGTGTGCCCAAACTTTGGCCTGGCCAAAGGTTTCTTTAAGTTCTTCTCTTACCTTACCCGAGACACTTCCCTTTCTGCCCTTCCATTTGTATATCGATTTATGGCCATTCTGATTGATGATCATGTGGCATATTCCAGAGCTCGGACATGAATGCGCGCCAGCTGAATGCGACGACGCCGAAGCGCTACAGCGATCTGGACTAGGAGCTGGGAGATAGGAGACAGGAGCTGGGAGACAGGAGCTAGGAGCTGCCCGGCTCGAAATGATACTCAGGACGACTACGAACAACAGCAACAATAGATTTTAACCTACAGAGAGCATAAAGATATACAAAATATATATATATATATATATATAGATATAGATATATATCACTAGATCTAGGCAAACATTCCCAGCAACAGCAATAACTACATTTTGTATTTGAATATCGTATTCGTGTTAAGTTTTCAATTGTTCAAACAAAAAAAAACAAATTGAGAAATTGTTAAAAACAAAAACAAAGAAAAAATGTTAGAGAACGTTCAAAATCACCTGCATATTTTATAAGCGTGTTTTTTAGTGCAATCAACTGAAACGGAATAAAAATATTGAAAAAAACAAAAGCGAAAAACGATTTTTTTTTTTAGGCGCTACAATTTATTTTTTACATCATAATAAATATTGTTCATTTCGCAGAGCTATACAATATAATTAATTGCGTGTGCTTGACAGATATACACACACACACACACACATGTATATATATGTGTGTGTGTATATATATTTATAATATTCGTTTAGTTTGTTTATAATTATTTTATACAAAATTCTCACATTTAGGTTTTTAGCGTTTGCACATTATCACGACGTTTCTGACGTTAACTTGTTTTTTTTTTGTTTGTTTATTTTGTTGTTAACTTTGACATTTTGCTCGACATTTGACATTCATTTAAACTATTTAACTACAGCAACAATTGATTCGTTTAAACAAAGTGCATTGGATTCGATATAATAGTATAATATAAAGATAATATATAATATATAATATATATAATAATCATACATAATATGCAATATAAAATTATATAAACAATAATACACATACACATACAAGATTTATAATTCAAATTCAAAATTTAACGAACGCTAGCAGCAGGCAAATATCGGAAAATAGGCTATATAGCTACAAAACTGTAAACTCTCTCTCTCGATATACATATATAGTAACACGACTTTATCGATCGATCAACCGCATTCAGAAGAAACGTGTGGCAAATGGCGTAGTTAGCACCGTTTCCCTCCTCCTCCTCCTCCTCCTCCTCCGTCCTCCGTTTCACTTGCGCAACGGATCCAGGCTCTCCAGCGAGAAGTCATCAATGTTTAGCTGACTCTGGAATCCAAATATATATAGAGAATTTATATAGTACACTGGCCAATTGAATATATGCAAAAGTCGCCCCAGATGTCATGCGTCATTCGCATTCGCTCGTTGGAAATGAAGTAAACAAGTTAAAATTTGAACCGGCGACTTCTCGCTCGCTAGTCCGACGCTCAGATACGTTAGCCAGCGCTGCTTTGATTATCTTCTTTCCCCACAAATTAAATACACCAGTTAAAAATTGAAAGTTGTTTCCAAATTTGAACCAGCAACTTCTCGCTTGCTGGTTCGACGCTCTGATACGTAAGCTATGTTCTGCATGCCAACTATGATCAGCAACTTTCCCCACAAATGAAATACACCAGTTAAAAATTGAAAAGTTGCTGAGGAATTTGAACCAGCGACTTCTCGCTTGCTGGTCCGACGCTCAATTATGTAAGTCCTGGCTACGTTCTGGTTGATGTTCTTTATGCAAAATTTGATAGTCTCTGAGTGCTCCCTTTTGACCGAAGGAAGCTTCAATCAATCACCAGTCATAGTCAGTCGGTCAGTCAATCAGCCACTCAATCAGTCACTCAATCAGTCAGCTGGCTAAGTGTAGCTCTAGTCACCTTGAACACGCTCCCTGTCGACCCGAGGAAGCTTCTGTAACGCCTCAGGTTTGGCCTGTTTATCAATCAGCAGTCAGAATCAGTCAGTCAGTTAATCAATCAGTCAATCAGTTAGTCAGTCAGTCAATCAGTCAGCTAGCTAAGTGTAGCCCTAGTCGCGCACTCACGAGGAAGCTGTTGTATGTCTCAGGTTTGGTCTGCTTATCAATCACCAGTCAGAAGCAGTCACTCAATCAGTTAGTCAGTCAATCAGTCAGCTAGCTAAGTGTAGCCCTAGTCACCTTGAACACGTTCCCTTTCGACCCGAGGAAGCTTCTGTAAAGCCTCAGGTTTGGCCTGTTTATCAATCAGCAGTCATTCAATCAATCAGTCACTCAATCAGTCAGTTAGCTAGTTAAGTGTAAAGCTCACCTTGAACACGCTGGGCCCGTTGTTCATTTCAAAGGGATCGGAGCCAAACAGATCGGTGTTGCCGTTGATTCCATTGTTGCCGCTGTTGGACACCGAGGTGCTGCGCCGTGGTGCGGCAATCTTTGGCGGCGGTGCCACTGCAACATGGAAAAATAACAGAAGTTACAACTTTTGATTGATTAAATATAATAGACAAATAGACGTACATAGGGGCGGCGTTATGTTAAGCTCGCTGGAGAAGCCGCTGCTGTTGATGCTCATGTTGTTGTTATTGTTGCTCAGGCTGTTGTTATTGTTATTGTTGTTGTTGTTATTGTTGTGCAGCTTGTGATCGTTGTTGTTGAAGAAGAGCTGCTGACCGAAGCTCTTGGCCGGCTCGAAGCCAAACAGATCATTGCTGATGGCATTGCGTCCATTGCTGAGATTGTCCTGAATCTCATCGGCGCGCGGATCAAAATCTGAATCCGAATCCGAATTCAAGAGAAGCTCATCCATTTTCTTGCCGCCGCCGCCGCAGCTGCTGCTGCTGCTCATCTGGCTGGACAGATTGCTGCGCGGCGGCACAATCGGCAAGAACGAGTTGGGCGACGCCGAGTGCGTCGAGGCCGTCGTCGAATTGGTGTCAATCAGCAGCTTGTCCTCATCTGGAAGGAGTTGAAAATGATGAGCAATAGGTTCTTAGAAGCAGCTGGCTAGATCCTTACCCAGCTTGCCGTTGCTCAGTGTCTCGTTGCCGTTGTGCAGCTCCTGGCTGGGCGCCTCGACAATGTCCTTGATGTTCAGCTTGTAGAGCATCGCGTCCAGCTCGGCCTTTGGCAATTTGGCGGACAATTCGCGCAGGCGTTCCTTGTAGATGGCAATGGTCTGCTGCAGATGCTCGATTTGCTGCTGCGCCTTGCTCAGATTCGTCTTCTCCGTGCTGTCCATGAACTTTCTGCAAAGGGAGAAACATGAGACTTGGTTGGAAATAATATATGCTGGACAACCCACCTGTAGGCCAAGTCGAAGGCCTGGCCAATGGTCAGCGTTATGTCCGAGGCGAGTTTATTTGATATGAACACAAAGCACTCGTGCGTCTCCTCCGGCTTCGAGCTGTATCCATTTGTGTCCATGTCCTTGGTCTTCACCGTCTTCGCAATGAAGCTGAAGAACTTCTTGACGCCCTTCTCGTCCGCACAATACGAGATATTGTATAGCGGAAACTGATGCAGTATTTTGTGTGTGCGCGGCTCCTGTATGGCCACGCCCTTGATGCTTATTGTAATCTCGAGCTTCTTGAACTTCTCCTGTGTGCCCGTCTCCGCCTTCTTCATTTGCTGTGCGAATTGCAGTTTGCGTATTGCGTCCTTTACAACCTCAATGCCCTTCGGCTGGTCCACGCTCAGGTTACCAAAGAACTGACGAAAAGATTTAAGAATCCGTTAGAAACAAGACTCGACTGGGGCATAACCTGTACTCAGCTAGAAGCTATCACAAGCGCACGACTGTTTGGACAGTGTTGCAAGTTGTTTAAAGAATAATCGAACAACGGCTGCGAATTATCGATAAATATCGATTTATCATTTGGAGTAAACTTGAAGTCTCTTGTATAAGGACGTAGCTAAATATACTCTGGAAATTTTGCTGCCTGTTCCATGAATTGTCACAACTGCGACTTTGAATACAGGAACAGCAGCTGCGAGTTATCGATAATTATCGATTTATATATGGAAGGTAGTCTCTGATATACATAGAGACTTAACCAGATCTACTTTATGCCTTACATGAACTGTCACAACTGCAACATACCCCTTCCTGTTAGGCAAGCTTCATATGTACAGGGTATACAGGGACAGCAGTTGAGAGCTATCGATAATTATCGATTTGTCATCTGGAATAAAGTTGTGGTTCTTCATATAGATACGTAGCGAGATCTACTCTGGGAACTTTTATGCCTCACATAAACTGTCACAACTGCAATAGTACAGGGTATAAGTACAGGGTATACAGAAACAAGCAGCTGCGAGTTATCGATAATAATCGATTTATATAAGGAAGAAAGTCTCTGATATTGAGACGGGGCTAGATCTACTCTGAACTTGCACAACTGCAACATACCCCTTCTTTTTAGGCAAGCTCCAGTTGGGCATGCTGAGAGTTATCGATAGTTATCGATTTATCATTTGTAGTCTCTGATATTAAGACTGGGAACTTTGCTGCCTGTCACAACTGCAACATAGCCCTTATTTTGAGGCCTACTCCATAAGTACAGGGTATACGAGCTGTTGCCTTGGTCTCACCTTGACTAGATAGACCGCGTGTCCATTGATGAGCTGCTCCGGCGTGTGCAGCCAGTTGCGTTTGCCGCTCTTGGAGTCGCCTTTGGAGCTGCCGCCGCCGCTGCTTGCGGCACCGTTGCTGGCGCCGTTGTTGCCGCCGCTGCCGTTGCCGTTGTTAACGTGGCAATCGCTGCCGTCGGCGGCGTCCTGTTGCAGCTGCAGCTGCTTCTCCTGCTGCTTGTTGCTGTTCTGCTTGTTCCAGAATTTTAGCTGGGCCATTTTGGCTGCCGCTTTGCTGCCGCTGCCGCTGCCGCTGCTATTGCCCGCTGGCTGATAAGGCATCTTTATCTATCTGTGTATATGTGTGTGTGTGTGGGCAGCTCTGTAAAACGAGATACATTTTGTTAGGAAACTGTTTAACAATTCGTTTCGTTTCGTTTCATTTGGGCGCGATTTGAACTTTGATTTGTTTGGGCCTTGGGGTTTTTCCCTTTGTCAGCTGAAAGTTAATTTGCAAAAATTCCGACAATTCCGATTGTCCCCAGACATTTGCCAATTGCTAATTAACGTTTTTCTGTTATACAACTTGCAATGAATCTGAAATGCATTCCTTGCCAGCTGTCAAGCCAATCCCCAGTGCATCTGCATCCACACACACACACTCGCACACACACACTCACTTGCACACACACACACACACACACACACACACACACACACACACACACACTCACTCGCACACTCTCGCAAACACATTCGTCAAACCAGTTGCCCGAGTCGCAAGCGCTTAGCGGTAACAACCTCTGCATCATACAAAATCTGAGCTGACATTTCCGCTTGTTTTCCCTCAGATCTAGCCTTTTCTAGCCGATATAGCCTTTTTTAAGTGCTATAAAAAGAAGAAGACTGTCATAAGTTCATTCTACCGAATCTCCAAAAAGAAAACATATTTTGTTTAAATCAATTCGATATCATTTACAGATAGAAGAAGAAGAATTTAATACATATTTTCGGCAGAGAGTTCGAGTCCTAAACTTTATCATGCTCATCATTGTTGTTGTAGTGCATTGTTGTAAACAAAAGAAAATAAATTTTATTTATTTGCTTTCATTTTTATTATTTTTTTTGTACGCCCATTTACAGCGATTTCTTCTTCTGCTGGATTCTAACCGGCGACCTTGACTAGAACTAGCTGTTTTTTTTTTTTTGCAATTGAAAAAGTTTACAACACTGGCTACGATCCGTCAGTCAGCTGGACGGCAGTGCTTGACGTCACAGTGCGGCCGCCAAAGACAAAGCCAAGACAATAAGCCAGAGTTTCTCAGAATCACACACACACTCACACACACACACACATACACTTGTAAGTGGAACAAACAGTTGTCCAAAGTCGGTCTTAATAAAAATCGCACCTTGTGTCCGTCGTACCTTTTGTGAGATTCTCGTGCAATTCTCACATTTCGTGCTGTTTTTGTGTCACATAATTAAGAAAAATCTTGCAAAATATAAATGAAGCCTTGTCTCTTTTTTTTTCTTTGTGCAAAATTCACGCAAACACACATACAGTATGCAATCGCTATAAAGAACAGCTAATAAATAAGTCGCATCTTTTGGCAATTCATTTTATTTGGGGACTTCCCGCAACAGCTGCAAACCGGTTTATTGGCATATTTTGCAACACTGTTCGCTATATCGAATGCACACTGTATGCCATGAACATGAGTTTGATTCATTTTGAAGCTGATTTGGGAACTGGCGCTGGGGCATTAGGCAACAACAGCAACAACAACAACAGCAACAATAATGGCACAAAAGCGAAAGCCAAATTATCCAAATGCGGCGGCATGCGATGACGAAAGCAACAACAGCAACAACAACAAAAATGGAAAAATAGCACAGCAGATATATATAGCCACAGCTTAACGAAACGAAATGAAAAGTGAAACACCCTGTATTTGGCAATTGTGCGCAATTATAGCGCCGCCGCCGACGCCGACGCTGCTGCGCAATCAAAATAAAATTAAAAATTGAAAAAAAATATGTATGTATAAGCAGCGCTCAGCTGACAGCAGCAACTGCGACGAACAAAAGAGATAATGTCGACAAGCCAAAGCTAACCGCAATGACGACGTCGACTGCGACGTCGACGTCTGACAGCTTCGCGGAAGTCACTGACGTCTGCCAGCCACCCACCACAGCCCCCCCCCCGTCCACTCTTCGTTATGTTTGGCATACAGAACGCGTTTGCTTTTGATGCGCACACAGATTAGAAAAACTGAACGACAACAGCCAGCAGTGTTGTAAAAATTGTAAATGCCAGAATATGCATGAACATGCGCAGCGGCAGCAAAGAGAACTACGTAGGCGTGCGGAGTGTAGACATTGCGGTACTTCAATTGCTCTGTGTGTGTGTGTACTGACTGTGAAATTTTTTTGTGTACCATTTAGCTATGCTTCGTTCCCGCATCCCCCCTCCCAAAAGATAATAACATGCTATAATTTATGCAGCAGCTTGTTGGTAAACGTTGTTTTATGATTTCTTCTTTGGCCTGCAGCATACTTTCTTTTAGGACTTTATCATCAGGCCAGTGTGTGCACAACACTTGTGCAACAGGTGGGTTTGCGGTAAACCAACAACAAGCACAATAACGACAAATTGATGTTTGCTAACAAATGCGCGTCTTTTAAGTCTTTAGCATTGCACAAGCCAAGGTATTAAATAAACGCACGAACAACAACGAAAACAACAAACGCTGCGGCGCCTTTGGGCCAGCCCAATCAAGAAAACAATAAAAACTTTCATAATTAGCGGGCGCTGCGTACTGCGCTTGCGTATGTGTGTGTGTGTGTGTGCGCGCGTGCGTGCTTAGCAAAAAGCAAGTAATTTAAATTTAATCAAACACACTGACACACTAATGGCTATCATATATATTCGTAATTTTACATTTGCACTTTTGCTTTTCTTTGCGTTCTCATTCCAGCTGAGAGCATACGCAAAAACCACGCATACCGTTTGTTTAGCAAGGCGGTAAATCGTTGTTAAAATACGTTTTTGCAGAGTTTCGCACAATCTTGCAGAGTTACAGAATTTCACCGCTTATTTACAGCGCCACGGCGCTAATACGTAACGTACACGTCGGGAGACAGCTGCGTACTAAACAACAAAAAAGCAAAGCTTCAACTTTTTCAAGTCGTTTCGTTTAATTCACTTGCAGTGAGCTCTACACAAACACACACACAAATGCTCGCAAACGAGAGAGGGGGAGAGACAACAATAAACAATTGTTAAGATTGCCGCTCGCTGCTGAGATAAATCGAGATTAGAGCACACAACAACAATAACGACGCCGCTTCTGGCAAGTGCGAGAGCACTCACACACATACAATGTATGTACATGTATGCATGTACGTGCACACACATACAATATGTAGCAATTAAAATTTACTGTAAACTAAAAGTTTTGCAAAACTTCACGTTAATATAACATTAAATACACGTGAGCGCGCTCTCCCAACTCTCACTCATTATATTTTAATCTCTTTCTTTTTTCTCTCACGATCATCGCCCACATGACCTGCAACTCTCGCAGATGACAGTGCAAAAAAGGAGAGACAAAAAAAAATACTTCAGCAAGGAGCAAAAACTCATCAAGCGATTTATTTCCAGTCAATACCGGATTTAGATTCTAAATTTGGACAATGGGCCAAAATTTACATACATACATACTTTTCACTTGTTAAACAATTTTCGCTAGTTTTACTCGTTAAAAATGTGAATCTTGCCTTGTGTGCTGATTGAAGAAATTAGTGCAATTGATGCGATGCGGGCGAGGGTGCGCAGCTGGGGACTACGACGGCGGCGGCACAGTTTTACAGTTACACGCGATGCACGATGGACAAATAACAACAACAACAAGACTATAACTATAACAAAATCAGCACAATGGCGGGATGCTGCGGCTGGTACAAATACAATTACAACAACAACAACCGTTTACTTTTTCGCGCGCTCTCTGTCTCCTTCTGCCTGTCTTGCTCTCTCGCTCTCTTTCGGTGTGATGCGGACTCGTCGCGAACTTATTTTTTTTTTTCGTGCTTTATTTTTATTTTAAATGTACTGCGCAAATTTACAACAAACAAGATAGCAGCAGCCGCAGCAGCAACAACAACCACATCGACACTGACGATGGAATATCCTCACCACCTTCACGGTCCGTCGATTTGTTTTTACCGATCACGCGCAAGAGACTGAGGCTTGAGTTGCCGTTGCGTTGACCAAAAAGTTATGAGGCCGTTTCATTTTGCACCTGCCAGGGCTGCACACTCAACGCTCAGCTCGAAGCAACCAATTGCAGTGGCCAAACAATGTGCATATCCATCCCACCGAGCCGAGCCGATTTCCAGTGAGCAACTCTTTTTGAAGCTAATGAGCGAAAAATGTTTTACATCAGCCCTGGTTTGTGTCTGATACACACGTAAAACTAGTTATTGCTCGCCTGCGATCGGCGCATACGGCTTGCCCGACAAATGGCATACTCTACAAATGCAAAGTAAGTTTGTCAAGCAGTACACTACAATTTATATTTCACAATACAATTATATTCTATTTCATTTATATATTAACAGTTAATCTCAATTTACGTATACTAACTCGTCTCAACTGTTTATACTTTTATGCAAACTATTCCAAATGTAAGCAGCTGAACTGCAATGCCTGTCAGCTTCAACTGTAGGTGATTAAGCGTAGTTTTCTCTTTTGTGGTTGAAGCACACACACACAGAGACACAACCATGGGTATGAGTAAGCGCTCATTTGTGCGACGGAGTGTGTGTATATTTAAAAGTTTTACCTGTTGCTTTTCAATTGTTTTACATTTCGCCTGGAATTATTTTGTGCACAATTTGTCAGCTTTACGTTTGCCTGTTGGCCATTGCATACAGAATTAGCTAATACTGCTAGATACGTTTTAACATTACAACTACAGGTGGCAAACAGACCACACAAAAATACCTTTACATGTTTCTATATACGTATGAGTGGGTTTGTATGTGTTTGTAAGCTTTGCTTGTGTAAAAACAAAGACCCGACTTGAAGACAATGTTGTTGTTGTTGCCGCTGCTATTGTGGAGAGGGCAGAAGACCAAAGCAAAAGCGGCAGCATACATACAAATATATGTATGTATATACATCTGCGATACGTAATTTCTTGGGGTTTTGTGTTTGGCTGCTTGAATTGCAATAAAACTGGTTTCTAAGTCAGGCGTATAATGTACAATGTACATACGAATGAATGCTGATATGTACATACATATGTATGTACGCGTGTACATACGAGGATTTAATTATGGTTGTCGTTGTTTGTTGTTGCAAGGCAAATGCATGCCATGCATTTTTTTCCATCAGTATTTTTCTTCAATTTTGCCACATTTTGACTGCAGCATTACACTGTAAATTGCATCGGCGGGCCAACTGTGTTGATGCTCCCGAAACCGGCTTAACATGTACAAGTGTGCGTGCGCGTGTGTTTGTATATGCATGTATGTGTGTGTCTTGCAGGCTTGCATTGGCATCCCGGTACCTGCGACTCTCACGCTCTCTGGCTCAACACACAAATCTGAATCATACTCCCGCTCAGTAAAGCAAGAACAACAACAACAATACTCTTCAGCATTTACAGTTAGGGGCCGTTGCTGCTTTTGCCATTTTCCTCAACTGCCAACAACAACAACAACAACAGCAACAACTTGATGGCGAATTCATTTTTTTGCATTTTGTTTTCATTGAGGCTTTCGTTCAGTTCGTTCCATAGGGCGACTCAGGCAACGGTTGGGGCGTATTTTTTTTTATTGGGCTTGTGCGCTCGTGCTGATGTCACACGCCCAACGCCCCCTCTACCCGCCCCCTGTGTTAGAGCGGACGCAGATCAGCGAAACCTTTTTGTTTTTCTCCACAGAACATGCAAATTATCAACAATATTGGCTTTTAATTTTGTTATTGCGTATGATTTGCGCTTATTGTTATTGTTATCGATGCCGTCGTCGCCGTCGCCGCCTTTTGGGGGCGTTGACTGACATTGTCATGGGGTCTGCAGGGGCCGGGGGGAGTGGAGGAGGAGGCCTTGTATTTAAATCAAGTTTTGTTATTGTCGCCGAGTCTCTGACTTTATCATCAGCGTTTCGCGGAGTTCAAAGGCCCAATTAACCAAATCCAAAAACAACAACAACAATTGCAAATGGGCGGCTCTTTTTCTTCTTCTTATTTTTTACTGCTGCCGCCTGTTAAATGCCATAAAAACATTGTTATTGTAAATGCATTTTTGTGTGCACATATCAAATGGCAGTCGCAGCCAGTTTTCCGTTTAGTCGTAGAAACGTGCTGGTATTTCTCGAGCGCAATCTTCAAATAAACAGCAACAAAACGATATTTTTTTTTGAAGCCTGGGTGCAGGCCACAACGCTGGCAGCGCAGTCGCCGCGACACAGGCAGCATAATTTACATACGTGACAATGCTAAAGCGCAGCTGAAGTCACGTTTTCGTTTCACGCTTGTTTGATTGAATGCGCGTCTGCTTATCGCGGCGTTGTAATCACTGGCGCTGTCGCCACCTTGAACACCCTGTGGCTGTTGCACTTGCTAAATTGGGGCTGCGCAGCGCTTATCTCATTCAAATGTGATCTGGCTTTGGCCTGACTTTAGCGCTTATCAGCACGCTTTCGAACACTGAACGCCCACCACACACGCGCAACTATATATGCGTGTGTTTGTGTGTGTGTGTGTGCGCGAGTAATTCAATTATTTTGTATATTATTTTCAATGTGCAACAAACGCGACAATAAAATAACAACCCCAACAACAGCACAGATAAGTGTTGTCGTTGTTGTTGTTGTTGTTGGCGCTGTTTTTGTCGCTGTAGTTGTAGTTGTTGGCGCTATGGCACCGACTGGCACTGGCACTGGCACAGCAATTATTCTGTATTCGCTTGGTCGCCGTTGAGATAGTGTGAGACTTCCGTTGAGCAGTGGCGGCTGCTGCCCAGGGGCCGGCGACGGGGCGGAGAGGAAACGGAAAGCAGCGAAAGTTTTGTTTTCAAAGGAAATCACTTAGAGAGGGTTTTTTTTTTGCTTATGCAGCACGATAAGCAGATCGTTCTCTTATGGGCATAATAAATTGCAGCAGTTGCAAAAAATATAAAAACGTGTGACAAGGTCATTAAAATCAATTTGTATGACATTCAAACACCGCGCTCAACAGCTTAAGCACAGTGGCAACACAGGCAGCACCAGTGCAATGTTATTTTTTTTCAGCAGCATGGCAACAGTTGTTGGTTGAGCACTTCGCTCAACAGCTGCTTAACAGTGAGAGCGACGTGTGGAGTCGACCAAGCGAGTTATCGGCTTGCAAACCTAACATTTCGATAGGCAGTTGTGCGCATATCGCCCGACCACCGCGATTTGTTGACCGTCTTAAAAATATTTATAATTGAAACATTTATATTTGTTCGCTAATTTTCTTATTGCATTTAACGTGGTCGCGCAGCTGCAATCAATATAAGTACGAGACGTATGCGCGCTACAAAAAAAACGAGTGCAAAATAGTTTTGTTTACCTTTTTTCCCGTGCTGCTGTTGGATATCGAGAAATTCGCTGCCTGCAACATATGTACACACACGTATGTAAATAGATATATGCATATGTATATATATGTACATACATATATATGGGCACATATGTAGATGTTGTGTGCTGTTTGTGCGTTCGCGGAAAATGGCATTTAACAGAGAACAGTTAAGTTAATGCGCAACGATGCAGATGCCGTCGCCTGCAGTTGCGCTGCCCACCAGGTGTTTATTTTAAGAGTGGCCCCCAAAACAAAACAACAACTAAAAAAGAAAAACAACAACAAAAAATAAGGAAAAACGTTTGACGCGCGAGCTGTTCACATGGAAAACGTTGCCCAAACAATTGGCTTTTCCCGCTCCCGCAGTCGTAGCCGTTGCTGTTGTTGGTCATGAATCTGAATCTAAATCGAAATCTGCAGCAAGGTAAGTAAAACAACATACACACACTTGCACAGGCACGCACGCACTTGCACACACACGCACGCACTTGCACGCACACACACACGCACTGTGTACATAACATAATTATCGACAAGTTGCGCTGTTATCTGGCTGATAAGTGCGCTGCTTCGATTAGCTTTGTCTTATTGGTTTTCCAATTAGTTTTTTTTTCCACTCGTTATTCTTGTTTTGTTTTGTTTTGCTTTGAGGCAACGGCACTTTTGCTCTTTGCGGTTTTTTTGGCACATTCAGCCTGTGCTTTGCTCTCTTTTGGCATTATCTGCGCGCGTTCATCTATTTGTTATCCCTGCAAAAATCCTATTTGTATATTTATTAAGTGCCTTGCCTTATTTATCTTGCGCTTCTTTTTTTTCGGACTGCTTTTGATTTATGTTTCTAATAAAATTTCAATAGACTTGCAATTTGTCGTTTTGCATAGCAGCGAACCCCTCTCCCCCCTCTCCTGACATGCGTTTGCCCAGCGCCCTTTTGTTGGGCTTCATGCCACGTGCGTTGGCCCGCACAGTGGTTGCAACGTGCATAAAACTATGCGAATTTTTAAATGCATTTTTTTATCTAAATGTAAATTAATATAATAATTATTTTACTAAGCTTAAAACTTTGTTCAGATATTTAATCTATTTTTTGTGTTTTTGTTGTTGTTATTTTGCATGAGAAATTTTTTAGTAATTCATTTCTTTACTTATTAAGATATTTCTTCTCTTATTTGTGTTTTTTGGTTTTGTTATTTTGCATTCGAATTTTTAAGGGTTTAATTTGTTGCCTGGACACATGTTTTAGTTATTTATTTATTATTAATTTATTATTTATTTATTTAATTATATTTTTTTTGCCTATTTGTTTTTAACTTTGTTTTACTTTAAATATTTGCACACACATTTTTTATTGTCTCTTGCCACACTGTGCCGCCTCACACATCAAAAGTCGCGACGAACGCAAAAATATGCGAAACTTCAGCAAGCGTCTCCCTCCTATCCCCCTCCCCCTTCCCACCGCCCCACCTCCCCTGTAGAAGTGTTTTATGTGTTACGCGGACTTTGCCAGGACTTTTGTTGTTACTTAGCTTCCTTTGTTGTTGTTGTTGTGGTTGTTGTTGTTGTAGTTGTTGCTGCGGCCTGTTAGGCCTAGGTCCTGCATTTGGGTGTCCTGCGTCCAGTGTCCTGCCATACATTACAATGAAGTATGGTCGCTGCTCAGCACTGGCTCCTGTCCTGGGCGACTTCTACAGACGACCTTTTCACACACACGCACACACACACACACACATACATATTTAAGTACGTACAGTGAAAGCTCTCATAACGTTCACAGCTGACCTCGGCAAACATTTGTTAAGCTGCGATCTGTTTGCTTTCTTGGCCCAAAAACTGTTCCCCAAAGCAGACAAAGAAATTTTCGAGCCGCTGGCTGTTCGCGCCGGGCCAGGTTTTACTGTACCATATATTCTTTTCACATGGTCACAGACGGCCCAGCAGTGGCAGCAGCGGCTAATTATGACCCGCACGTTTTCAAACCAACAACAGCTGGCTGGTGGGCGTGAAGGGGGGAGGGGGCGGGAAGGGTTGACGGCAGGCAAGACAAAAAGGGGGAGGGGGGTAAGTGTGGCATACAAGTGTTTAGCTACATACGTTTAAATGTTTCCGGCGCTCACTTTTGTTTCGTGTCGCCTTCAGCCTTGGAGTCTATATTTGGCAACGCATGCAGCCTGACACTTTTACCCCAACCCCTCTCCCCTTCTACCCCTCTCCCTCCCTTTGCCTCTGCCCCTGCCTTTGCTGCTGCCTGTCGTCGCTCTGTTTGTTTGTTGCACTTTTATTGCGTTCTCAGCTAAGTAGTCCTGTGTACGCGCGTCTGTGTGTGTGAGCCATAAACATGTCGTCTTTCGCTTGATTTAGCGGCCCGTCCGTCCGTCTGCCCTCTGTGCGCCCTTTGGCCATTGTTTTGGCCCACAAAATGGCCGTCTAAGCCACTGACCGCGCCACGTCGCGTATACGTAACGCTCAACTGATCTGCTTGCCACACACACAAGTACAAGCACAATGGGCCAGCCGCCGCTTGTCATATTTGTTGCGCCCCAAACGCTGTCAAATTTCTAGTTATCGAGCTGACAATATAACCAGCTACCGCTTCCAGCTCTACGTTTGCCGAGGGTTGCCAGAGATAATGTTATTTGTGGATGCCATATTGTTGTTTGTATATAAAAGTTGCCCGAAAGTCGCTCTTAATAGCGAGAGATCGCTGGTTCAAATCCATTTTCAACATATTTCCTCTAATAACATTTCTCAAAAACAATTGGTATTGTATTCATATTGTTATTTATGCATTCCCTATTATTTGTTCATACGTAAAAGGTGTTTGAAAGTTGGACTTACAAGCGAGAGATCGCCAGTTCAAACCCTTTTTCAACATATTTCCTCAAATAATATTTCTCAAAAACAATTGATTTTGATATTGTTAATTATGAATGTCATGTATTTAGTATATTTATAAAAGGTGTCTAAAAGTCGGACTTACAAGCGAGAGATCGCTGGTTCATACCCTTTTTCAATCTATTTTTCTAATAACAAAATATTTGATGAGTAAAATTACCCAAAAATAAAAGAAACCAACTCTAGAAACCAACTCTAATTTTTCCCTTTATGACCTGCAATGCCGCTCAACTTTGAGCACCTTCACAATATTGAAAGCAACCCTCGCATTCGGGTCATAAATCTGGCAGCTGTTTAGCTTGGCAAACTGTATCTGTCGTATCTCTTGGATCTGAATACAAAGCCGTTCGGCCCCTTTATTTCGATTTTTTTGGGGCGTTTTGAGTTATGCGCAAGTTTGGCAGCAACTCTTGATAATAATAAACTCTTTATGCTTTACACTTTTTTGCAGCCCCAACAAAGAATGGCCTGAGCCGTGTTAGCCTGGTCAAATCGCAGAGCAGCGGCAAGCTCAGCCACAGCAATGAGGCCGCAACAACAACAACAACAACAGCAACAGCAGCAACAGCAACAACAACAAACAGTTTGCGCGCTGCCAAACTTAAGATCGAGGCAATGCAACAGCAGCGCAACACGGGCAACATTATCCTGCTGCGCGGCACACGCAACGAGAATGGCCAGATCATCATCCAGAACAAGCAGGACATACTCAGCCTGCTCAGCGAACAGCAGCAGCAGCAACAGCAGCAGCAGCAGCAGCAGCAGCAGCAGGATAAGGCAACTGCCTTGACGCTCAATCAGCTGCCCACAACAACAACTGTGGCACGCAAAACAATTGTCCAAACAGCCGGCAGCAACAGCAACAACAGCAACAACAACGGGAGCAACAGCATCTCCATCGTGGCCAGCACCGGCAAGGACTCCAACACAATCCTGCTGCAGACGCCCATCAATGCCAGCCAGCTGGAGAGCGTGCTCAAGGCGCAGGTCAACTCCAGCAGCAACAACTCCAACAACAACAACTCCAACAGCAACTCAAACAACAACAACAACAGCAACAACAACAACAACAGCAACAACAATGCCACAAAGCTCATCGAACGTCCTTTTATGCTAAAACATGTAAGCACAAATACTCTTTAAATTATTTATGCCTTTTTATAGGGTATTTTGATTCGGTCATGAGATGTGCAACGTACAAAAAGAGACATCTCCAAAGAATATAAAGTATATATATATATATATATATTCTAGATCAGCATCAACGTCTGTCCATCTACCTATCTACCTATCTATCTATCCATCTGTCCATCTCTCCGGCTCTCTGTTCGCCCTTCTGTCCGTCTCCCCTTCTATCCAAAATAGTCTCTCAGTCTTAAAACCTTCCTTCTTGAAACCTTCCATAAATCCATCTTTCTGTTGCACGTAGTGCATATATCGGAACCGGCCGGATTGTACCACTATATCATATATCTCTCATAGGAACAATCGGTCGAAAAGCAATTTATCTCTTCAGTTTCTCTTTGTTATTCAACACATTTGGACCAAACTGTGTATTTCTTAATTTCTCTGTGATCCCCATATACCAGCCAAATCTTTTTAAAATCGGACCACTATATCATATATCTCACATAGAGAGATATTGTACCCTAAAAATCCTATATAGACATGGGTCAAAATTTCCCAATCCCATAACTCGGTCAAAACTCAACCGATTTTCACGAAGTTGGGCTTTTTGTCCATGGTTCTGCCCCTATATTAATTTGGCATTTACATCTGGCAACATAATTTTGGGTCCAAATTCATGTAAAAATGGTACCCTCAAATATCCTATATAGACATAGGTCAAAACTTCCTAATCCCATGTCTCGGTCAAAACTCAACCGATTTTCACGAAGTTGGGCGTTTTGTCCATGGTTTGGCCTCAATAATAATTTGGCATTTAAGTCTGGCAACATAATTTTCGGTCAAAATTCATGTACATATTGTACCCTCAAAGTGCTATATAGACATGGGTCAAAATTTCACTTATATTCCCCCTTCCTGACTGACTGACCGATTGATTATCTGTCTGACTGACTGAAAGGTAAAAGCTAGGAAGCTGAACTTTCACTTACCTTATGTGATGAAGGTGCACGTGAAGACGAGGTTTCAGTTTATTCCACTCGCATATGTGGAAAAATTGCGAACAATTTTTGTATTAAACTTTTTTTTTACCATCCGATCGACCTTCAATTCAGGTGTATTTACACTAGTCGAAAAATGGATTCCTTCATGGTGGGGGTCAAAGATTTGGTGGGTGACGTTTCGAACTCAAATTTATTTTCAAAGATCTATACAAAAAATCATTTGAGACGTGTTTCACACTTTTCGCAGAATCCATGCTTCCTCGATGGAAAGATTTGTTGGGCTAAGTTTTAAGTTTGCATATATATGTATGCCTGTTTGTACATACATATGCATACATAAATACATGTGCATATGCATACATAAATACATGTGCATATACATACGTACATACATATGTACATAATTACATACATGCAAACGTACATACATATATACATACATACATACATACACACATACATACATACACACATACATACATAAATGCATACATGCGTACATACATACATGCATATATATATATACATACATACATACATACATATATGCATACATATATGCATACATATGTACAGACGTACATATTTAGATACACAAAAAATATCAGAAAAAATAATACAAAATGAAACAAAAAAAAAAACACCAAAAAAATCACTACACTACTAGCTACGCTAGTGAAAAACTGCAGAGCCTACCTGAATTCTTGAGAATCGAGGAGTAGAGCACTTGGCAGAAATTCGTTTTATTTAAATTTACACGCAGCGATTGGTATTAGAAAACAAGCACGCATGCATACATATATGCATAAATGCATACATACACTAACACACAACCGCCCACACACATACACACAAACATACCTGCACACACACGTACACAATCAAGCACACACACACATATATAATAGTTATATGCCTTCGTACAAAATACTCGTCTACCTACAGACATTAATACAAAACTCACATATGTATATTGATACATACATGTGCATGCACATACATGTTATACATACATACAGAGATGCACACACAAACACAGTCACATACATGCATACTACTATGCCTGCCCATACAACAAAGTCAAATTGTCATACACACCATAATACATAAACACATACATGCATATGTCAAGACATACATACGCACATACATACATATGTACATGCATATGTACATGCAGATATATACAAATATATATATATACTCATTCATACAAAAATAACGCCTTTTCGATATTCGACAACAATTTGTTAATAATACATGGAAATTTGACTATTTCATGATTGTTTTTAACCAAATTTGATGTCGTTGGTATTTTAGCCTTTTCTTCTTCTTCTGCCTGATAGCTTTTAGCCTTATTTTGGCTCAACTAACAATTTGCAGGCAGCAGCATTAAAGCGAAGTCCGTGTCGGCAGCTTGTACACTATATATATGGCTCTAAAGAAAGAATCGGTCGAAAAATATAATTTCTATAATGGCAAAATATTCGGTTTTCCAAGATATTTTCACCGGTTTCCATATTCTCACATATCGCAAGCCATTAATGCATATGTCAACAAGGGTATTAGATCATCGACGTGCCGATAATGTTCTTAATTTTTTCGTTTTTAAAATGATGTCATCAAATGAAGCATTGAAGTAGACAATAACTAATGATCGGCATTTGTCCGTCTTATTTTGGCTGAGCCCATTTAAATGGACTTAAAGTTTATAAATGATATAGATATATATATTCTTTAGCGGAACGATCTGTGTTCTCTCCGTCTGTCAGGCAATTACAAAAGCTTGAAATATATATAATCGCCTTTATATCATACGCATCTGACTTTGCCACGACTTTGCGTCCATTTTCTCACTTTGTGAACGCTTTTGTTATATTTTTAGGCCTCGCGCAGTCTGAGCTCGGAGAGCAATTGCGACAGCAAGTCGCCCTTTGTGCTGCAGACGCTGAAGCGCCTGGAGAAATCGCAGTCCATTCTGGTGATACGCAACTCGACGTCGACGACGACGCCGCAGGCCAGCGGCAACAACAACAACAGCAACAACAATGCGACGCAACAGCAGACGCATGTGTTGAGCGTGTCGCGCAGCTCGAAGGCGTCCAAGGCGGTGGCTGCCACGCTGCAGAAGCTGAAGGCGCCGGCGGGGGCGGGGACAGCGGCAGCTGGTGGCACGACCATATTGAGACTGAGCAAGAGCGTCAACAAGCAGGTGGCAACAACAGCAACAACAGCAGCAGCAACAACAACGACAACAACAGCAGCAACAGCAACAACAACGACAACAAATAAAGTGTCCATGGGGCAGCCGCAAACGAATGTGCCACTGGGGAACGGTAAGTCTGACTCGCAACACAATAGCTCACAGCTAGGCTAAGGGGGGAATCGGGGGGGGGGGACTGCATTTTAGATGCGCCACATAAATCTGCAACCTGTACAGGTTGCACTCGGCCGTCTCTCGGCGCACTTTGTTGGCAGCCTTGACGAAAACTTTTGACAATTGAACATTTTTTGTTGCCTACTTTGAGGCGCCGCGCTTTAATCCTAGCTGTGCTGCGGGGCAAGCGCGTCGCGTACGTGTCCAGCCTAACAATTATTCAATTAAATGCGAATAAACTTGGCCTCAGGCCGCCTTTTTTTTTGACTGCCCCCCCTTTGTCTCCCCTGTCCCACAACAATTGTTGTCTCTCTGCTTGTTGTCCAGCTGCGAACGCGAGCTGAGGCTCATTGATTTTCACACTAGCCAGCATTTGTTAAGATACCCTGCAGGCATCTACTCACACAAGGCGTATACTATATACAGTCACGTTTTAAGTCCTGGTATATTAATGTGAAATCCTATTGTCTTCTGTCTTCACGGGAGTTCGTTCCCCAAACTTTGTACTTTTCTGTTTATAGTCATAAATTATGTGATTTTTTTTATTGTTTTTTAGGTTTAATCGAATATAAAAATTGTAAATAGATTTTGGGTTTGAACTGGCGACTTTCTGATTGTGGTTCAACGTTCAGTCCCTATATATATAACTCGTCTTCTCTTTATTCTAAAAACAAATGTAGAAATTGTAAAGAGTTTCTGAGTTTGAACCGGCGACTTCTTGCTTGTTAGTTCGACGTTCAGTTCCCATTTTAATTATACTTAATATATAGCTCGTCTTCTATATAGCTCCATAGGGTATTTCAGTGCTTCTTAGGTAAAAATCAATAAGAAAAATTGAAAATAGTTTCTGGGTTTGAGCCAGCGACTTTCTGCTTGTTGGTTCGACGTTCAGTCCCTATATATATAACTCATCCTCTCTTTATTCTAAAAACAAATGTAGAAATTGTAAAGAGTTTCTGTGTTTGAACTGGCGACTTTCTGCTTGTTGGTTCGACGTTCCGTACCCATATATAAAGCTTATCTTCTCTACAGCTTTATAGGGTATCCCAGTCTCCAACCCACGTTATTTTATATACTCCTCTGTGCTTCGGCTTCTCTTGATGCTGTCTCTGGGGGGGAAATGGGAATTGGCTGCGCCTCGTTTTGGGTTGCTTTCAGATGCTTGTTGCAAACAAACGAGAAATATTTCTTCTTCTTCTTCTTCTTCTTCTGGGTCCAGTGTTCATTAGCGAGCGTTGTTGCAGCTTCGTGAATGAATTCCTGCCAGTCCACCGAATGTTTCCTTTATCTTGTTGTAAGTTGTAACCTGTAACGAGAGCAAATTAGTTCATTTAAGCGTAAAGCGCTCAAGACAGACTCTCAACAACATATTTGATTCAATTGATCCAATTGGATGTGTTTCAGCCAAAACTTTCCTAAGTGCTCTCTCTCGTTCACGAAAAGCCACAAAAAATGTGGGACGTCAGCTTTGCTCTTGAATGAACAAAGTTTCATTTAAATAATTCTTTTTTTCTTATTCATTGAAACTCTTAATTGTGGAGCTAAGATTTGGACTGAAGTGGCAAGACATGTGACTTGGACTTCAAAAACATTCTGTATTATATCTTAAAAATGTTCATTTTATAAAGTTGCTTGTAACAAAGTTCTCCATGGTCACTTTAATATAGCTAATCATAAATCATTAACCCATTTTCACACTCACCTCAATAGTTTAGTTCTTGGGCTTTGACTTTGATTATGAGTTTTGTTTGCTTTATCTACACCCTGTAGAAGCCTTGCATGTCCTCCATGGTGAAATTACTCTAAATTTCACACTCCTTGGTTTGATTTTAAATTTGAGCTTTGTCTGCTTTATCGACACCCTGCAGAGTCCTTGCAAAACCTCCATGGTCACATTATTCCCTCTTTGATGTTCATTCATTCAAGTCTTAAGCTTTGATTTTTCATGTCCTCCGTGGTCACTTTATTCTGCCAGGCTTATCCACTTTCACACTTGTTCGTTTAAATTTTCGCTTGATCTGAACTTTGTCTACTTCATCTACACGCATGTCCTCCATGTTCACATTATTCTAGCTTTTACACTCATTTACTTGAGCTCTAAGCTTTGATTTTGATACTCAGCTTTGTCTGCTTTATCTATGTCCTCCATGGTCACTTTGTTAACACTTACCTTTGATTGCTTTATCTATACCCTGTACAGTTTTTGGATGTCCTCCATGTTTACATTATTATAGCTTACACATTCAATCATTTAAGTCTTAAACTTTGATTTTGATTCTAGGCTTTGACTGACCCTTAAAAGTCTCTATCATGTCCTCCATGGTTACTTTTTTCTGCCATGCTTTCCCACTTTCATGCTCATTAAGATTTGCTTTTCATCCAGGTTCACATTTTTAGAGATTTCACACTCAAGTCTTCGACTTTGATATTGTGTTCAAGCTTTACAGTCTTTGTCCTCCATGTACACTTTATTACCTGTTATAGCTTATGTAGGAATTTAATTATAATTTTTACAAATTTCTCCCCAACAAGCTTTTTGTTCACATGATCTTTATCTGTCTCGGGTGCAGCCCTACAGCAATGATGTCCTCCATGTTCAGTTTATCGTTAATTTGGATGCTGTCAATGCATTTGTTAAGCATAATTTCTATCAAAATGCTGTTGGGCTACATTTGAAGTGGGTGGATTGGTGGAGGAGGGGAGGAAGGGGTAGTTCTTGGTCGGGAATTTGAAGATTGTCGCTGTCGATTAGCCAAGTGGCAGCTGGCGTTAAAATAAGTTGCACGTTTACGTGGAACGCCTCGGGGCAGCAGCACGAATTGCTGAGCTCTACACAAAATGCGCTCGTCTGGCCTGGCTCTTCCTCTTCTCTTCTTCCTCTTGTTGTAGCCAAAATGTGCGACAATTCCAGCAAGAGTTATAGAGTTCGTCTGTCCGTCCGTCTGTCTGTCTGTCTGTCTGTCTCGAGGTGTTGATTATGGCACTCGATACAGAGCGCAGAGGGCATCCTTTGTTTTTTGCCCACATATTTTTTGTTTCATTCTGCTGACAAGAGCTTTGTGGAAGAGGCAGCAGCAGCATCAGCAACGGCTGCTAAGTGATTTTTAAGCCAGATTTAAGTTATGGCCAAGACGATTGCTTTGTGGGCGTCAAGTGGCCAAAAAAAAGTGTCGAGCTGTCGAGCGGCATATTGCAAAACTCGAGTAATGCTGATGTTTCAATTGCTGTCAAGGGCTGCCCACTACACATATGCACCAAGCACATACACTCAGAGAAAAGACGGATGCACTTGGCCAGTTTTCTAGTTAAAGTTGTGATTGAAGCAAGGAATTTAATTGTGATTTGCATTTGGTAAGTTAAGTGAGTTCGAGTCTAGCTGAAGTTAACCTTTTCTATAAACTTGCTTATATATTTTTCTCAGTGCATTTAGTATCTATGCATATCATGTGTGTGTGCATGTGCTGAATGCAGACATCCGTGAGATACTTATCTGACTTGCAGCCAACAAATGCAAACGCCTCACACACACACACACACACACACACACACACACACACACACACTGGGTCGTTTCCATTTTATTGATAAAACTTTGGCTAAAATTTTAAATATTTTAATTTAGTTGTAGCTTAGTTTTTGGCCATATTGTTGCTGTTGCTTTTGTAGTTTGTTTTTATTTGGCTTTATCATAGCCAGCCCGGAGCGGAGCCCATTAGCTAAAAGGCGCCCAACCTTCAAAAAAAGCGCCGAAAATTCATAGCGCTGGCATTTCTATTTCTTTTGATACCCCTTGCCAAAAAGGCAGCACAAAACGGGGTATATTGAAGTGGAGAATAGATAAATATAGCTTGTTGTTTGAGCTGCCAAGAAAAGTATTTCTTAAACAACAAAAAATGTTGACTAAAAGAGTTCAAAATAGAACAGGAAATAATATGTTTATGTAGGTAAATAATTATATAATAATATATAATATAATATAATACAATAATATATAATTTATAATATATAATATAATAATATATTATGGAAGTTTCAAAGATTTCTATCAGACTTTCGAAGATCACGAAATTTAAAATCAGCTGTTTAATCCGCTTCTAATTTCACGCTCAACATTGCAGGGTATCTCCCAGTCAGTCAGTTGGGCTGCAGCCTTTCTTGCACCAGTTTTTTATTGTTTTTTTTTCATTCTATATCTTCTTTTTTTTTTTGAAGGTAAGCAAATTAAACAAATTACGAACAAACAGCGGGCAACGGCGCGACCCCCTACGAAAAGTATCTATGAGATACTTTTGCATTTTGCATGCATGTGCCCGTCATGCGAGTTGCCAAAAAAAACAGCAAAAAAAACAGCTAAAAAAATGACCAAACTTTTATTTTTTGGCAGTTTTCTATTTGAGTTTTTCTCTTTTTTTCGTTGATTTTCTTCAAAAATCCTTTTGGCTCGCTTCATTATCATTATTCGGGTGCGCCTTTTTTTTTTCGAGCACATAATTGCCAAGAGGAACAACAACTAAAAAAAAAATAGGCGAAAACTTTTGCGCTTTGTTTTTCGCAACACAAAAAAAAAAAACGTTTGCATTTCCGTTGTTGTTATGAAAGCTTGAGAGCGTGCGCGGCCAGTGTTGCAAAAGGCAACGAAACAAAAAAGAAGAAACGGGCAAACGAGAAGCTTCTTTCTCTTTGTAGTTCGCTTTTTAGTCGTTTGTTTTTTTTGTATGCCCTATACCCATTGAATGTGTGTGAGAAGGGTATAAGGGTTTTGTGCAAAGTTGTGTAACAGGCAGAAGGAGGCATAGACTGTTGAAAGGCATAACTAGATACTACTTACAAAATTGGAATGTAGGTATATATAGGTATTACAAATATTTCACTTTTTGGAGAGCTGCAAAGAGCGGAAAACTGGCTTCAACATTCAGAAGATGATATATATGGTTAGAAAGCATACCTGGAGAATATCAAGAGCTAGGATAGTTCAAAACTTAGTATGTTGTTTCTCACGAAGTATATACATATTACAACTACTTAATTTTTTGGAGAACTCCCAAGAGAACAGGAGAACAGGCAAGAGAAGAAAGAATATGGTAAGAAAGCTTAACTCGAGAATTATAGGAGCTATATACAGTAAAACTGGTATGTGGCTTCTTATCAAAATAAATTACAAATATTTCACCATTTGAATAACTGCCTTCAACAGGCAGGGGAAAGAAAATATGTTTAGAAATCTTAACTTGAGAATTATTAGAGATAGGATAGTCCAAACTTAGTATGCTATTTCTCATATAGTATATGCATATTACAAACATTTAATTTAATAAATAACTCCCCTCAATTCGCCCCATTTCACAATTAAAACTCATTTCGAGTTAGAACCCTGCATTTAGGTATTTTCACACATTTGGGCTTCATGTTTATGCCCTGAAAATTCGCACAACGATCGGACAACAAACACCGAAGTTAATCGGGAAAGCATTTCTTACAGTGTGGGAAAGAAGAAGCACACAAAAAGCGTGCGTTTGTAATGGCAACTATGCGCTGGTTACAGGGTATCTGCCAGTCGAGCACATCCGACTAAAGCACACGTTTTTTTCTTTGCTGCGAGTTAAATTGCAAAATATGATGGGCCGGCGCCTGGCACCACTTCACACTCGCACACACACACACACACTCGCACACACACACACTCGCACACACACTTGGCCGTGTGGGCGTCTAATTAGTTAAACCTGTGCCTAATTGCCCCACTGCCACGCCCACAGCTCTATCTATTTCACTTGTACAACTTCATTTTTTGTTTTTTTTTTTTGTATTATTGTGTCGCAAGTTCTTTGCTTTAATTGGAATTGTTGCAACCTTTTTGTTGCATGCTTTTGAGTGTGACCGTATTTGCAGTGCCCTGATTTGTTTTTGGAAAAAAACTGGGCGCACAAAGTAATTTAGCCGAAATAGGCGCAAACACAAAGCGTTGCGACAGGCAAACTAATTAATGAATCTAACAATTTCCCTTGGGCACACATTACAGCTAGTTAGCTAGATATATAGACATATGCTAACGGATTTTTTCATGATTTTTCCTTTAGCTGCTCATTAATTTAACAGAGTATTCTGACTTTTAAGGTTTCCAAAACTTAGATCTATATAAATTATCATTTGAAACGCGTTTCACCGATTTAGAGTTGAAAATTGTAGTTTCAACTTGCAAGAAATGCGCTTGGTCCGGTCAAAGCCGGGTAATACTTGCTGTTACCTGTAAAACCTACTCATTATTAATACACATATTGCAGATACCTTAACTATAATAATCAGTTGCCATTGACTCGTATTTTTACCATTCTTCTCTAATCCATTCGACTTTTAAAGGTCTATGTTAAATATGTTCCAATGTTCCAATCTTAATCTGTCGAAATCTGCAATCTCTCAGTGAAAATGACGACTCGATCTGGGATTGTGTGCTTGATAGCTTAAACATAAATATTCATTCATATGTACATATGAATATACATATATACATACATACATATGTATGTACGCAATTCCAAGCTTTGGCATGACAAATGCAAGCCGGCGCAAAGTCCACAAAGAGATCAGCTTTGCTCTAAGCAAAAGTATCAATGGGACAGGAATTAAAAAATGCCCAAGTCTCAATAGTATACCCTTTAGCACTTGTTGTACGCCCATGAGGTCGTATCATTTCAATACAAAATTCGTAGTTTTTTACAAATATATATTTTTAATGCGTTCACCGATTTCTTTAGTTACGTACACTTGCTCAAAACCATTATACCCTGTCTTACTCACTTTTCAATGCACGCAGGGTGTAATTACAGTTATTCGGCAAAGCGCTATCGTGCACATACATGCATACATATATACGTATGTATGTATGTATGTATGTATGTATGTATTGAGCCGCTGTCTTCGACTCAACGACATTTAACGTGTGCATTCGCGTGTGCTCTCTCTCTCTCTCTCTCTCTCTCTCAAGTTCACGCTCTCCGTGTGCACACGCGTTCTTAGTCAAAGTAAAGACTTTTGCAGATCAAAGCAATCAACAGCCGTCGCCTATGTGCGCCTGGTACTTAGAGGTGGCCTTTACATTAAGTCGAACGCGTGTCAGCGCCTGCCAACGTCATGATTAAAGAAAGTCTTATATTAAAATCCGAATTTATAGTTTATTGACTAATTTTATAAAAATATTTAAAATACACTACTATTTAGTCACATATGTACATATATAGAAACGCAACTAAAAATTTCGCTGTATATAATATAAATCAAGACTTCCTAGATAAATTACCCTTATTCAACTTCTGCAGATCAGGTATTTCAATGGCAATTAATTATTCCATTTCTTATAAATTCATCATTTCATCTCAGATCAAATAAGTTAGATTGCGCCCTAGACAAAAAGGCACGACTTATCACAGAGTATTATTAAAGCAAAGCTCACGTAAAATTGCCTTCGCTAGTGCTCAACTTTTTTCTACTCATTTTATTACAATAACAACAAACGAGCGAAATAGCTGAGAAATGTGCATAAGTACCATAACAAAGGGCGAATAGCAAGAGAGAGAAGAGACGAAATAACAGTTAGTCCACCAAGCGGATATTGCGCACATTTGTACATATCTACGTGTGCTCGCTTTCCTAGTCAAAGTAAAGGGCATTTGCCGATCGCAGCAATCAACAGCTGGCGATTATGTGCGCCGGGTAAATAGAGCTGGCACTTTAGTGAACTTTCAAATCTAGCGGCGTCATAATTAAAAGCGAAATATATTTTTTAGATATCATATCACACTCAAGAAATACAGCTATAAAAAGCTAATTATGTTATAAATAAATGCCGATCCTGAAATTATATACCTTAATATATGTATATCTGCCAATCAAGACCTTTGACTGCCACCAAAAAATGTCAGTTCTAATACTAAATAAATAAGACAAAAGTGTGTCAATCAATATCTTTCCAAGATCGACTTTATTTACCCGAGGTAATACTATTCATTCGCAATAAACGGCTAAGTTATGGCGGATTTTGTATTTTTCAGCCAAATCTTACCTGTAAAATCGACGCTGTCCACGCATCACTATTTCGGAGCTTCTCCCTTCTTCTTTTTATTGCAACAACAACCACGTGAATGCAAGCGAGCGAAATAGATTAGCGAATGTGCATAAATACCAGAACAAAAGGAGAGTGATATATACATATATATATGTATCAGGCAAAGCGAGATAGCAAGATCATTCCATTCTACCCTGCTGGGAGCTGCCTTTGAGTCGAATTAAAGGGAAGACAAAAAAAAAACCCAACTGACGATTGTGCTCGACATTTGGAGCTGACACTACTCTGTAGAGAAATACGATTACTGCACGTATGCTTTCAGCCCCTCCCCCTCCCCCTCTCCCTCTTCCCCTTTCCTAGCAGCCACTCCCCCTCGTGGGTTCCCAGTTGACATTCATATCCTTGGTCATACCATACCATAGATATAGTCCTGGAGAACCTAAAGGAATGGATTATAGTCGAGAAATATGTATGATTTTTATTTTAGCAGCCCCCAGCAACAGCCACGCCTTCTTAATGGTTCCTAGTTGACTTTCATATCCTTGGTTAAACCATGCCATTGATATAGTCCTTGGGAACCTAAAAAAGCAGATCCCTGCGAAATTTGCATCAAAATGGTCAAAAAATATGCATGCTATTTCTTTCAGCAGACCCTCTACAGAGCTGCAGCAGCGGCTGTTGTTAAACAGCCGTCCTTACAGCACTCAAATAACATGATCTGCTACTTAACATAACTCATTCGAAATGAGTTACATTTTGCCCCGTGCGGGTATGCAATGCAATTTTTCATTCGAAGATTTTCGTCTACCTGCTGGGCATTTATGTTCGCCTGGTATTTCAGTCCGATTTTAGTAAAAATCTGGCGACCCAGCTGGCGACGAGGCGCCCCTTTCGGGTATGCAATGAAATTTTTCGGCCGCTACAAAATTTTTTGGCGACCTTCTGGTCATTTATGTTCGCCTGGTATTTTGGCTGAATTTTAGAAAAATCTCGACAGCCAGCCGCTGCCAACGGACGCCCCTTTCGGATATGCAATGAATTTTTAACGACCAGTAAAAATAACAGGAAATTGTTCATTAATTTTAAATTATTTATTTATTTCTGTTAAAATATATAAAACTGTTGTTTTTTAAATGTAATTCTTTTTAAATAAATACTATTAAAATTAAACAGTTTAGAGCATAAATAATATTTTTGGCTTATTTAAAATTAAATTGGCTATATCTGGAGCATATAAAGTCCGATCCTGGAAAGAATATCCTTGTTGGAATTGTGAAAGTCCTTAGAATCGATTGCTGTGCCTTGAAATCATCAATCTGTAAAGATAAAATCACATTTGAATGAAAAAAGTCAAAAATGATATTAGCGTATTTTGAGTTAGGAAAATGACCATAACTCGGCCATATCCTTGCAGATTTTCAAAGGACATGGTGCGTTAAGATCGTTAGGACCAATAGCATCGATCTGCATCAAAAAATTATGGGGTCATCTAAGAATCATGTACTTGGTAAATTTTCAGTCTCGGGGCGCACGGGAAATAAGCCGAAAACGGGCCACAAACACAAATTCCTTAATATCTTGGAAACTACAAGGACGATCTTGATGCAATTTGGCAAGTTGGTAGTCCTAATCAATACAATTTTTTTGCCACATGACTCGCCAGGATACTCAAGGATATGGCCGAGTTAGAGCTTATTTTCTTGACTAAAAATTGTCCTTAAAACTATTTTGTCTGAAGGACTTTCGTCCTTCGGGTTGTAATTTCTTAAATGGGAGGCTGAGGACTATCTGCTGGTCAAAGGACATCCCGCTAGTCCTTCAAATGGCAATTTTAGACCGGCATTTTTCGGTTTTGGCCAATTTTGTGACCAAACCCCTAGGAAAAATTTCAGTGCAAATTTTTGTCGAAATATTGAAATCCTTGAATGCCAATCCATAGTCATGATTCTCACGAGCTCAGAAAGGTATATCCTTCCGATATCCTTAAGGATTTTGCCGAGTTATGGCTAAAAACAAAATGTCCTTGGAAGAAAACTAGCCATATTTCAGAAACCACAAGGACTATTTTGATCTCCTTTGGCCAGTTGATAGCCCTAGTCCCTACGAGTTGTTTGACATAACACCATAACGCCAGGATTCGCAAGGACACGGCCGATATATAGCATATATTCTCTGCAGACAAATGTCCCTTTTCTTGGCTATGTAAAGGGCTTTCCTTAATCTTTTTGTTAATTCTAAAGTGGGCGGAAGAGGACTATGGGTTGGCCAAAGGACATCACTATAGTCCTTAAAATGGCAAAGTAATGGCCGATTTAGAGATTAATGTCCTTTTAAGAGAAATTGCCATAGCTCGGCCATATCCTTGTGGATTTTTAAAAGGCTTGGTGCATTAGGATCGTAAGGACCAACTGCATCGATCTGCATTAAAGAATCTAAGGATTATACCAATTTTATCCCCCATATTAGCGAGCCTATTGAAAACAGGATGAAATTTCGAAATACCTGGGAGCTTGGAATCCACAAGGACAGCTTTGATCTTCTTTGGCCTGTTGATAGCCTTGGTCTATGCAAGTTGATTGATCGACGAATTGTGAGTATCCTCCCGGATATAGCCGCGATTTGGACAGTTTTCTGTATAACAAAAATGCTTAAATTTAAAAACTAATAATAGGAATATAGGGAGACTAAGATATGACATACTAGCTAATTTGGAGGGCGGAGCAGCAGTCGAGCTTTCAGCAAATGATAATCAAAGTAGTTTCAAACCCCGTGACCTCATCAACGCCGTGAGCTGGCCATTGTCAGCGCAGTTGGAACTCCAAAACTGTCCCAAAAAGTTGGCATTGTTGTTGTCCTGAAACCACCTGAAAATTAAGAAGAATCTAAAATGAACTGAAAGAACCTCAACCTATGCTCTTACCTGGTAAAACATCGAGCAGCCTGATTCGGCGCTTTTGCAGTAGTTCAGAGCCCGTAGCCTCATCTAAGCCGGGAGCTGGCCTTTGCCTTTGAAAGCTTGTGGGATCACAGCCAAAAGGTTAAAGTTATCCATAAATCACCTGAAATTATTAAATTAACTGTCCCTGTTGTTTACCAAAAGGATTAACAGTCGATCAGCTGCTGGGCATTGCTGTTCGCCCAGCACTTCAGCCAAATGTACATTCAAATCTTGCGCCCAGAGGCAGCCAACTGGCGCCCCTTGCGGCTATGCAATGAATTTTATTATTTGCAGATGCTGCTAGCCTGGTATTTTAAGTCAAATCATCCACGCTAGCAGCCAGTGCAATAATTGTAACAGTTTCTTCATGCATTTTAAATGAAAAAGTTTCCATTAGGAAATGACAAAATCAAACAGACTATAGCCCGGGATTTTAAAGCATGATCTCGAAAAGATACATCTTTTCGGATTCGTGAAAATCTATAGCAGCAAGCGTTCTCTTAAAGCCTTTAAAGAACTCCCCCTTAGAAATAAATTTTTTCAAAATTCTCAATTATATTTGGACTACATACAGTTGGATTAGGGCTCCCTGTAATTAAAATGATATATCGAACCGTTAACCGATAGCTTCAAGTTGTTATTTATAAGAAATGATACGCTAACTGCATATTCGCCATTCTCAAAGGGAAAACGAGAGCGCAAAGCATCCACATTCAGCTCGAAATTGCGTATGTTCACCGAAGTGCGAGGCTGAAATTGAAAAGAAATATATTATGAACTATAGATAAGTTGGTTGACAGCTTACCTTATAGGGACAGGTGTGATTTAAGTTGGAGAAGGGTTTCAGATACTCGAAGGCGATTATGGCAATGATGTGATAGGGTCTACGCAGCAGATATTGCGATTTAACCACAGGTTAAATATTTACAAATCACTTACATTTGCAGAGTTGTTAAACGAGCGAAAGACATCGTAGGTAATATCAATTGTGTTTCGGGTGCGACTCAAAGCCTCTATTCCTGCTCGAGTGCGTTTTTAACTGGGTTTCAGCTTCTTAAAGTTTTCAAATATATTTGTTAGGTCCGTTTTCTCTTTTATTCCGATTTATTTTCTCTGGGTTTGTCATCAATTTGTACAGCTCATTGGAAGCTCGGAAGGGCATAAAAAGTTCGTCATACGAAAAGCATTCTACTTCCTGGGCAAGTTTTATTACACTCTCCTTGTGTCTCTGCCCAATACGAATCCTTTTAGCTAATCGAAGCTATTTTCTAGTCCATCTTTCCAGAAGTAGGCTCTATTTTATATTATTATTATATTGTTCCAGTTGTGAGCAATTTTATATTGCATATATATAAATGTGTTAATATTTGTTTAAAAATGATTTGTTGTCAAAATAATCGGGTAATTATTGGAATATAAAGAAGGAACATTGAGCTGCTCTCAATAAATGACATTTGGATTAGCTGAAAATTTGTTTAAATTTAAGCTTTTTTATGGCATCCATCAAATCTTTCTCATATATTAATTACGCCATATTTATTATATATTTATTAATTAAAATGTGTGTTAAATTCTTGGCAGCTGCAGCAGCGGCAGCACAACATGTCGTACATGTGCAATATGTGCGTGCCACATATTTGCGCGTTGGCGTCTCGTGCCTCACACGTGCGGCATTTGATTAAAAATTCCGCTTGCCCGAATGGAGGCCACGTTAGCCAGGTGTGTGCGACTTCTAACGGGGTACTACTCAGCCCTACAGCCGCTACAGCTGACAGGCAGGCCTGCCATTAGTTGGCCTCACTGTGCATAGCTGTGCAACGTGCAACGTGCCACGTGCACCACATAGCTTTGCATTTGTTTTTATATCATTTGAGTGTTTATTTGTTTTTCTTGCATTGCATTGCATTGTTTTTGTAACTTTGGGGTAGGCGCCAGTTCGTTTAGGCGCGCGGCGCGTCCCGTTGCAGTCAAGATGGCAGTGCGCAGGTCCTGGCGCTAGGTGCTGCTGGTTCCTCTAACGCGGCCGGAACAACCCCTAACTGCTGTCACACTTATTGTTGTGCAATAGAAATGTTACACTCCGTCTGTCTGTGTGTGTGTGTGTGTGAGATAGTGGGTGTGTGTTTGTGTGTAGGTGCTGTCGACCAACCCACACAGCGGCTGGGCATTAAGACGGAATTAGGCTAATTGTAACGTATACGAACCGTTGCCTAATGCCCCGACTTGAGCACCACTGTGCTTGGCAGGCAAGCCCTCACACTCACACACACACACACGCGCTTACTCACTCACTCACACTCACACTCACTCGCACACAACTACATTCATCATATGCGTTGGCCTCTTGCTGCTTCGCTTTCGCGCTGCCTTCTCGCTCGCACGCGCTGCACGCTGCCGCCAGCCAAACCGACGAATCCTAGCTGAATGCACACAGCCAACGCCCGAAGCGGCTTCGTGTCGAGCCGATGTTCATTGCCAAGCCGACGACAGGCAGTGGCCGCGGTCGCTGCTGTCGCTGCCTCTGCTGCTGCTGGCTGCTGCTGCGGCTGCTGTTGGCAGCGCTTCAGTTTGCAGACCTTGGGCAAACGTGTCGGACGTGCTCGTGTCGTGCTCGCAACGCAACGCAACGGGAACGTTGTTGATAGTCGTCGTCGTCGTGCGTTACGTTACGTCTTACGTATTTGTGCGTTAACGTCGCATTGCCAGCAGCAGCGGCAGCAGCCCAGCAATATGCCAATATTTATTATTGTCAATATCAACAGCATCGCCAGCTGCTTGCGTTAACAAGCGCTGATCCTGGCTGCAAGCATTCAGGTTTCACGTTTGTTTATGTAATTTGTTTATCTCGCTCTCTATCTGTATCTGTATCTGTATGTGTGTGTGTGTTCTTGTGTGTGCATTAACTGTTCATTTCAACCTGCAATTTCCACCTCTCGTATTTATTTATTTACTTACGTTGTTGTGTCAATGTTGCCCACTGTAATTGGTCTTTTCTGCTTATTTAAACCACATTCTCCACATCCAATCTGAATGTAACTAGAAATCGTTATTGACTTTATGTGTATTAACTATAGATATTATATTTATATATATTGGTGTTGTTATCGGTGTTTTTAACTGTTATTTAATATAGACTTTAAGTCCTTTTATGTGTTTTATGTGTCTAAATTATTTGGTGTTAACTTGGTGTCGTTTGCTTGAAAGTTCATAAATTTAATCATTTTTTTATTGAATGTTGAGGCAGGGACCCAGAATTTTTGATCTATTTTTAGTATAAATATCAAAATTAAGTTCATATTGTTATCATCAAAAGCCTAATTTGCAAACTTATGCAGGTTTAATTTAGTTCATAAACTCTTTTAATATAAAAATCGAATAATAATTTAGTTTAAATAGCTTTAAAGATTTGCTACTGAAGAAATAGACATGGTTTTCTATTCTTTCGTTAATTGATCAAAATGAGTTTTATCCAAAAATTGTAATAATTGAATAGTGAAGAAACCATCTCTAGTTTTTTTATAGTGAGCGTTATTTATATATAAATTGTGATATAATTATATGAATCATATATGTATACAATGTGACATAGTAATATGAATTAAAGTTATATGAACCAAAGAATGAATCTACATGAGTCTTGAAAAGGGAATTTTTAAAATATGGATTTCCAAAAAAATTGATATTTATACATAACAACCATAATTTCTGGTGACAAATTTTGGTAGGTTTTTAGAAATTCTATATATTTAAAATTTTATTATAACAAAAAACAAAAAAAGGGAAATTATTAAAATATAAAAATAAGTGAGAATTTAAGATCTCTACAATTTCTGATCATTTTTAATTTGTAAAAGTTAATATTTACCATACATGTTTAAGCTTCAGACTCTTCAAACTGAAAAGCAGAAAATACAATTATTAGAATCAAGTGATAAGTGAGAGTTAAATTTAAGAATTTGAGCAACTGTGAGATAAAAGTGATAAGAGAAAAAGTTAATAAATAGAAAGAAAAACAGCTTGATTTAAAAGCAAACTAAGTGACAAAAATTTCAACATCCGACAGAGACTAACCCGGTTTATAATTACCGAATCCCGTAAAAACATTTCAATATTTGGCAAACAGAAACTCAAATATCTTAAGCTGTCAAATCTTGAACTGATTGTCAGTCAAATGTAGCAGTAGCTGTCAGTTAACTTTTGAGTTTTACATTGTAAATATCGTGTATATTAGCAGATCCAACAATAATCATAAGCTAGTTGTGTATATATATTGCGCCTAATCTCCAGTTACAGTTTATCACATGCCAGTTGACAGCTTTACATGAGTGCAAATAATTGTTATTTGGGATGAATTTTTTTGTCCAGCACACACACATGACATACGAATTGAACTTTGGTTCAAGGCCGCAGAAAATATGCCGAGCCTCATGTAAAGCAAATATTTATAGATTCAGATAAGCTAAAAAACTCGCACACAGATTCCCAGAACATAAATTGTGGAAATTATGTGAAGTAAATACGACTAAAAAAAAAATGATATTGTTTTAGCCTAAGTTGGCAGCAACAATTGCTGCTGTGCGCCGGAGAGCAAATGCAAAGAAAATTTTCAAAATGAATTTTTTTGACTCGCGTGTGTCGAGATAAGGCGCGGATAAGGACTTATCTTGACATTATCAACAACAGAACTAAGCCTAAAATCTACGATGCGACCACAACTCAAATATATTGCTGAGAAAATTTATTTAAATTCGTTATTATTCGTGGCCAAAGATTTGAACTTGTAGGAAATACTACATGCGAAACGCGGCGATTAGTTAACAAATAGATTGCAACGCACCAAGACGCCACCTAGCGCAGCGCGCAGTGAACTAACAAAAAAAACTCTAACTGAAAAATCAAGTGAACTTTCAAGATATATATATATAGATATATAGATATATATCTGTTTAAATGGCCGGTTATCGTGCGCTGCCGCTGGCGCCCGTCTCGGCGGCTGCTGCGGTGCAGCCGAGCAGCGGCCATCCGGGCCCCACCATGGCGGCCTATGCTGCCGCCCATCATCATCACCAGTCGATGACGGCGATGTCAAATAACGGTATTATCTATCAGTCGGCGGTGCACGCCTCCATACACAGCTTGAATACAGTACAAAGCCAGCATCGCTCATCCACAACGCATCATCATATTCTAGCCACGGCAACGGCCACGGCGACGGCAGCAGCAGCAACAGCAGCAGCAGCAACAGCAGCAACAGCAGCAGCAGCAGCGGCAGCAGCAACCGCTGCAGTGGCCGTTGCGCTGCCAACAACGCCGACAGCAGCAGCGACAGCTGCGATGCAGCCGTCGGCAGCAGCAGCAGCAGGATATGCCCAGCAGCAACACATGCAGCAGCAACAGTTGCAGCTGCAGCCTACACATCAGCAACATCAACAACAACAGCAACATCAACAGCAGCAGCAGCAGCAGCTCATGCTGCAGCAGCAACACGCACATCAGCAGCAGCAGCAACAGCAGCAACAATTGCTGCCGCACGCACATCAGCAACATTTACAACAGCAGCAACAGCAGCAGCAGCAGCATTTGGGGATGACGCCCGCGCTGCACCACCACCACCATCATCATCATCACCACCAGCAGCTGTCGCTGCACCAGAACCACCTGTACTTCAATGGCCATGGCCTGGGCCATCATCATCATCATCATCGGCAGCTATTTAGCCATTTGCAGAGCGCACTTTTGCCGCTCAGTGTCAGTAAGTATGCATGTGTGTGTGTGTGTGTGCATCAATCAATCAATTGGTCAGTCCATCAATCAATCTATCAAGTTTGTACGTGCATTTGTTCTAAACGTGTCGCATGTTTGTCTATGTTTTTTATAGCCATATTCAAGCCAATTTTTAGCTCTGTTTTCTAGCTGTAATTCCTTATTGTTGTTGTTGCGTGTGTGTATTTTAAATCTTTAAGTTTTCACTTGAGTCCTTCTTCTTCTTCTTCCACTTCGGCCGCCTTTGTTTATCGCGCTGTTTTGTTTGCAGCTCATTTTCATTTTATAAACATTTCATTAAATTTTATTTCATATCTTCCTGGTGCAATAATTCGCACGCCATTCCACAAAACGCGTGCGGAGCGTCGCGCCTATGTTGCACGGTCGAGCGCTTATTGTTCTCCTTCTTCTTCTTCTCCTTGTTGTTGTTGTTGTTGTTGACAAAGGACATGCACTGATACACACTACACTACACACAGATACACATATCCTTTAACGAGTGCGAGCCTCAATCTAAACTACAAACAATTGAAAACAAAAGGGACACAAAACCCAAGGCTCAGGTGCTTGTTGTCCTTGTTGTGTGTGTGTGTGTGTGTGTGTGTGTTGGAGTGCGTGTGTGTGTGTGTGTTATGCCTCTAACAATGCAAAATATGCCCAACATTTGATATTTTTTGCCGTTTCGTCCACATTACGTTCGCCATTTGTTTCGCGTTTTAGCTTAGTTTTTTGTTGCCCCTTCCCCGCAGCCCTCAGCCCTCTCCTTGTCTTTTGTGTTGCACATTGAAATATGTCAGCAATTGTGCAACGGTTTTTCTTGCGTGCCCCGCACACACACACACTCACACACACACACACACACATCGCCAGCTCCATTGTCACATTAGATTTTGTTTTGCCCCCAGCGACAGCTTAACTTTATTATTTTAACTTAACGGCATTTTAAGTGTTTTTTATATGCAACAACAATGGAAATGCCTCTGTGTGTACGTGTGTGTGTGTGGCGAGTTAACATTTCATGCAACAGCAACAACAACAACAACGGCCGCAGCCGAAGCCCGTAACAAAGTCGTTTTCTCGTTTATGAGCAGCTTCATTATGCGCGTTTTGTAGCATACTTTTCAGCGCCACACACACTCGGCTGCCCCCGCTCCTTCTCCTGCTGCTGCTGCTGCACACCCACTCAACTCCACTTTACACCACACTCACCACACCACACGCCCCTTGACTGTCCGCCCCCCGTCCGTGTCTCACTCAATCGCCGTTTTGTCACTTGGGCACGCTAAAAACTTTGCAACCAAAGTGCGTCAATGAAAAACCAACAAGTGTGCAATGTGTGTGTTGTGTGTCTGGTATGTGTGTGTGTTGGTGTGTGTGTGTGTGTGTGTGTGCGTGTTTAGTTGTCTTTGGCTGCCACTGTTGCTGCTTGTTGTGCCAGTCAATTTTATTGTCTTTGGCATGCCATTGTTGTGACTACCTCCCGCCAGGCCTGCTCCCTCTCTTTCTCTCCCTCTCCCTCTATCCCTCTCTCTCTGTCTAACTGTCTGTCCTTTTCTGTTATGCTGGTCAACCTCAATGCTAGGCTTACAAAAGCTATAATACCGTTGATATGCGATCTTTAACTTATAATGCTTGGCTTTAATTATATTTAAGCGTCTTTATCAGAAGCTGTTTTACAGTGATGCCTCGTTAATTAAAACTGTCAGAAATTATCATTCATATTTGTAATGTCACCCGTCTTGTAGTTGGTTAGAGGTCATGTAGTAGAGAAAACAATACTTTTTCTTTAGATATGTAAAAACTTTTTAATTTTCAAAAACCGCATTTAATTGTTTCATTGAAATCAATTAATTTTAGCGTTTACTGTACCAGGTACTACTATATATGTATATCCCTACATATTAAGATTATTTGTTCTGACTGATGTAACACATTTGTGCTTAACTGTAAGCAGTTAGCGAAACTTTATAAGAAAATCCAACCGCTTGCGTGGAAAAAAGGTGAAACTTTTTATTTTTAACAATTTTGCTGTATTAGTAGGCATCTAAACGTGATAAAAGGGGCTAAGTGATAAAGACTGTTTGTCCAGACTGAATTACTGATTGGTGCTTAACTGTAAGCAGTAAGAAAAGGTTTATTAAAAATTCCACCCGCATGCGTGGAAAAAAGGTGAAAAGATTTTGCTGTACGAGCTGGAATCTTTTAACGATAAAAGGGGCTATAATTACTTTATTTAACGAGTGTCTACGAACTTGTTAGTTTTTCTTTATGCAATTGGCTTAAAGTTCAACTGTATTCCGCTCACATTTGACATATTTCTACTCAGTACTCGGTACTCGGTACTCAGTACTCGATACTAATGTCAATCTGGGCGCATTTGCTGCTTGCGAACGTTCAAACTGTGACATTTTATAAATGTATAAGCCACAATGTCAGGGGACCAAACTCTAAAAACTCGACTTCACGAAAAGTGTGAAAAAGTCATAAAAGAAAAAAAAAAAACCAAAGAAAATCCAAAAAAGAAGAGGAAGCGCTGTAGTAGAAAGTCGCAAGTTGACAAAATTTTAATAAGGCACTTTGCTGGCCGCCTTTTGCATGCCAAACAAGGCGCTCGCCAGCTGCCAGCTGGCCAGGGGGAGGGTAAAGGGGAGGGGAGGGGGGAGGTCTAGGGCTGACCAACGTGTGCAATAAAAAATTCAAAATGCTTCACATACGAAAAGGCAGAAGGATTTGTCAAAGATCACGTACTCAATAAATATTGCCCATGAGCCGCACAGTTGGCTACACTTTTGTGTCTTTGGACTCCTTTCTTTTTTTATGTCCAACTAGAAGAGAGTGTATGTGTGTGTGTGTGTGTGTGTGTGTGTGTTTTGTTAGCTGGCGCCTTTAATTTCAGTCCAGTTATGGCCTGGTACAGCTGTGGGCGCGGCGGTTGCATTTGATGTGCGCCTATTAATTTCGACTCGGCAATTCAATTAGTTGAGCCCCATCCCGAAATATGTTGCCTGCTATTCCAGTCCTGGCTGGAGAGATCCTTGCCGCTTCCGCCTGGGTTTACGTGGCACGTAATATATATGCTCATATTACTAAAAGCTACATAAATCGTATTTGGGGGGCTTTAAGCGACGGCAA